AAAACAACAACAACAACAACAACAACAACAACAACAACAACAAAAACAACAACAACAACAACAACAACAACAACAACAACAACAACAACAACAACAACAACAACAACAACAACAGGGGCAATTCTAACATAGAGAGGCAGCTTGGTCCACTCAACTTGCGCTGCTACAGAAAATGATCCGTCGCCATAGGCAGAAAAAGTCCTACACTCTACTTGAGGATGAAAAGAAAGCAAGAACGAGACGTTCAGTAGTAGCCCTATCTATGAACCTCCTGAACTGGCTATAATTGTCCAGGTAGAATGAGAGGCAACAAGACACAAATTGTTGATGTGAGATGTGTTGCGTGATCATCAAAAACAGCATTTAGATTACGTGACAGGGTTTACCTCGACAGGACCAATGTACACAGGTGGAAGTAACTCCTTATTCCCCCGGAAGCGTGAAGTAATGTGAATGACTTCAGTCTTGGGGTCATTGAGTAGCAACTTATTGTTAATGAGCCATGATCTAATATCAGCTATGCAAAAGCGTGAAGGGCACCAAGAGACTGGGATCTAGAGAATGAATCGCAGGTTACGTCCAGTTATGTCTTATCCGCATACAATAATCCGCTGTTGTTGTGAGAATCTAGTATAGCAGCTACAGGCCCAATATACAAAGTGAAATCTTTACGACTAATGATGAATCTTTGAGGGACGCCATATAATACTAGCTGCTTGGTAGGTGAGGCTTTGCCTATAGACACAGATTGATGGCTATCGTCAAGGTATGACGTCATCCAGCGGAGATCAGCTCCTTTAGAACGATAGAGCTTCTCCAACGATGCAACAACATCCCGTGATCGGTGGTATTAAAAGCAGCGGACAAGTCCAAAAGCAGTGGGATGACATCCTTTTTCCTTGTCAATACTACGCAGAATGTCGTTCTGTTAACGGGTCAAGGCTGTCTCTGTGGGAGGGTTCTTCCTACAGGCTGACTGAATCTTGCGTTTAAGCTTACTGTTCTTGAGGTATTCTTGCAGCTGATATGCCACAACTCGCTAAATAATCTTGCTCAGGAACGGAAGATTGGACACTGAGTTATCCAACAACTCCGGATCCAAGTTGGGTTTCTTTAAAACGGGTATCATCATATAGCAGTACAGTGTGGGGGAGACAACGCCGGTCTGAGGAGATAGGTTGACAATCTTAACAATGATAGGAAGGAGGGAATCAAGGTACTCTTTCATCAAGGACATTGGTATTGAGTCAAGATCTCAGCCTTATTTTTTTTCATAATATGATTGTGAGTTTATGTCAAACTTGCAGGAAACAGTGTTTTCTATAGGTGAAATTGTAACACTCAATTTCAAGTGTCTCTTGCAGTAAAACCGTGCCACTTTTACCACTGCAATCTTCTCGTTCCCGTTAAATAGCCTAGTTTTGTCTCTGAAATTGAAAATGAAGACCTTTTTCTCAAGATGGCTTCCGGTAGCTTTAGCATTCAGAATTGTCAACACTTTTTGTTAGTTCAATACCTGCTAGCTACTGTTCAAGTCAAACATTCTTTAAAAAACTACAGAATCGTGCTCTATTTAACCGACTAATGTATATTCCTTAATTTTACCCGACCTGATTCCTGACAAAGATGTAATTTTAATACAATGAAGACTCGGATAATGATACCGAAGCTTCTCTTCTTTGTAACACGTTGTGTAAAATGGAAGTTTAATATTATTTATTTTGGGACCTTCTTAGGGATTCAACTGTTGACTATATCGGCAGAATTCACATAATAAAACATAATGGGGTACAGAAAAATTGAAATAGTGTAAAAAAATGGGAATCGGTGCATGTTTTAGAGAGTTTGTGCACGAACCTTACGAACAGCAACTGATATTATTCTTAGAGAGTAAATATCGTCTTTTTGTTAATTAATATGTGTTACATATAAATGACAGAGTAAACAGCGATTATAGTTCTTTCTGCAACCACGTCAGTACTAAACAGTAACAAGACTAAAAGCAAAAGCAGTTCACATACCTAGACAAGTTGACTTGCTAGAAGACATCTTAGTTTGATAAACTTAGATAAATTTGCCATTGTAAGTAGTTTTAGCAGTTTCTGAGTAATATATAACGATGAAACTGATATCATTTAGCTACCGGAAATATTACATCAATTTTAAACTTTTGGATTTGCCATTACTATCGCGGTCCATCCAATTTTGACCGAAACCACGATTGGGCGCTATTGGAAATAGATTAAGAAAAAAATACATAAAAAACAATAATACAATAAAAAACACATTCTATTCAATGGAAGCCAAAAACAATCGTGTAAGCGAGAGACAACATGATGCAGTCCAGACAGGAAAATGTCAAGGGAGTCATGGACACCGAAGAGATACACCAGTCTCTATCCTGAAATGATACAAACACAGAATATTAGAAAAATGAGAAGATGAAAAAAATGATATCAAAGCCGTAGAACTGAATGTTATGCTGAAATGGTAAACAGAAAGGTGGGATGGCTTAACTTGAATGACTTAACCGTTAGTTCAGGAAGCGTCTGATTTTATTTGTCTTTTAGTGGGGGGGGGGACTAGAGCAGAAGGGGTCTTAGGAGGTGTCCAAATTACTTGGCTATGGCTTAAAATTACACACCACCCTATCGATAATGTCTGCAGCTACTATCATAGACTCGTGGGTAATTGCAAGCCACGGCAAAGTAATTCGAACACAGTCTAACCAGCTGCTTGTGTTGATAGTAGTAGTAATTAAAATGACCCTTTGATATCAATGCAAGGATATCAACCAAGCAATAGACTCTGATGTTGGAAATGTTCACTTTCTACAACTCGTCAAAGATGCATAGCCTTCCAAGCCTAATTGTCGATTCAACAAGCTCACCTCCTCGCAACAGAACAAATATATGCTGCCGCCAAGCGGCAGTAAGCCCTGTAACTGCTCTTACCACTTTGACAGATGACACCGGCATCTTGATTGTGGCTGCATTGGGGCTCCTCCCAGCACGAAGACGGGCAGTCACCGAAGTTACCCTCTGATCCAGTGCACGCCACACCGTCCATGTGGACAGGACCACTGCCCTGACCGAAGTAAGCACCGGACTTGGCCGCCTGCGCTCCGGAGAAGCCCAGCACACGACAGACCACAGCAGCGTCGTTGATATCCCAGTCATTGTCACAAATGCTTCCCCAGGTGTTGCTACGGTAGACCTCCACGCGGCCGCTGGAGTTGTTGGAACCTCCCACCAAGCGAACAGTGTCTGGTGAGGTTGAAGAAAATGCGACGTTAACATGATCACCACTAGCATGTTCACACCCGCAAGAACGACGTTCGAATAGAATGGCTTTAAAATCTAATTAAATTTCTTTGAATACAAAACTGCCAGAGCCCATAAAATAAACTGTGGACCTTGAACATTAACGCCTGATTCTTTCTTATGATCTTAAATGAGAATATTTTTTGGACAGCTTTTCTGTCATAGAGACATGTTAATGCTCAGGAATAGATTGTCAAAATAACACCCCAGTATGTGTCTTGTCATAACAGAGTTGGAGTAATGCAGGATTGCAGCCAATATAGAAAATATTAGTTTGATAAGAATGATCGGGGAGAAAAAGGAAAGATCTTTTATGTTAGGATTGCAAGCCTATTAGCATAGACTTTCAGATGGTCTCAACAAAGCGTTTGCTTCCCTTATTGAAAAATGAGACAAGTTGGGTTTGGGTACAAAGAAATAAAACGTGTTTAAGGAATTTAGAGGAGGCTGTCATACGATAACAATGATGAGCAAGGGAAATTGAGAAAAGAGAGATCTGAACCTGCATCGTATTGGAGAATTGTACGGTGCTCTGAAAGGGACCTCCTTTATTTTATGTCAGTTGGCAGTCTAATTTTGTAAAGGTTCTCTGCCTTTGTCCGGGGTAAAGTACATGCGCGAAGAATGTGTTTCCAGAGTGACATATAACAACGTACTCATTTGGGGTCGGCAAACCACCGTGGCGACACGAGAGCTATTGCACTGCTGATATTCGGTGCAAATAAACGGGCAGTCCACCAGGCGATTCTCCGTGCCTTTACAGGCGACTCGGTTCATAACGATCGGGAGGTCAGTCCCTGCCGAGCTCGCCCCAGCTTGAACTGCCTCCAGGAAACGGTGGTGTTGGCGGCAGGCGATATGGGCGTCGCTTAGATCCCAGCCGTTGGAACAGACTGCACCCCAGGAAAGTGTAGCCTCGTGGTAGATCTCCACACGACCGCTGAGGGCGTCATCACCGGCTACTAGCCAAAGCATTCCATCTGATACTGTAAAATAAATTGCACGACGTATGCACACTCCATCATGCACGTAATTGTTTCATCTGAGACTCTAGAAATAGCAATGGCATGTAAGATAATGGTCTCGTTTCATCGATTAACACGCTTTATCTGGATATATATGTATATATATATATATATGCTTATTAATAAACATCTTGTTTATTTTTTCCTGAGACCAACTTCTCAGAATGAACACGTTGTGGTCACTCAGTTTAATGTTAAACCCCAAAACTCTTGTTTTTAATACCAGTATAAGAATTCAGTTAATGGGGAAACGGGGTAATCCCCTGACTTTTTCAATTTAATGAAAGTCTTTTTTAAAGACATTTTTCATTGTCTTTCCTTCCGAAAGCTTGGAATTGTTTCATAAAGGTTATTTCAAAAATATTGCATTTTCCCCCCAAAAGATATTTGCTGCCCCTGAGGTGTGGCTTCTGAACCGCTTTTGGTCAGCATTGACTGACTGACCTGCGTATCTTCATTTGCAAACGATATCTAAATGAAAAGAAAGACGTGCTTTATTCACAAAAACGTAATTTTTCTTCCTGCTAAATTGACTGCCATTTCAGTATGGGTGTATTACCTCGACACCCCAGTACTTCGAATCTCAATCTGTATTCTTTGTGATCCCAGGTCTGAGGTAATATACGGAGATACCTTGCCATCGGTACCACGGGGAACGTCACATTTGTTGGTCGTCCACTGCTTACACTAAACTGAAACCAATTCATAGTGCATAATGTGTCATTAGTAGCATTCAAATGGTAAACACCCCTTTCAAAATGAGAGATTATGTGTACGTTACAGATGAGCATTTGCATATTTTAGTTTTGCCACTCAAATTGCCAAGTAGGCCTACAGGTCGGAGTCAAATAGGAGTGCATGGGAATGGAAAATAAAGATATAAAAGAGACACAATGCTGCATGGTTGTAGGAAAACTATGGGGATTTTTGCTATGTAGACCAGGTGAAAAAACTCCTTAAGTGTTTGTGATGCACAGCGCTCTTTGGACCCCATTGTAGGTTTCTGATTAACCGTTTTAGTACAGAATTAGCGAAAAGACAGCCTTTCATCGAAAGGCATGACAATTTCTTGAAGTCATTCACTTGCCAATGGTGCATTTTCATCAGATAGTCTACAAATATACCGGAGAACCACTCATAGTATCATTTAAACTAACGTCAGTTTCAGTAGTAAATATTTTTGTTTAACCTGAATATTTCTGTGTAATCTAAGTAATTTCCTGTCTGTCCGATAGACATGCGTTCCGTTATATCTCCCTTTCTTTCTGGGTATTTTTTTGGTTCTGTTTACCGTCAGATATGTCATGCCCAATTAATACATATAACCAATGGTCACGCTATTCGATGTTATATTTTCCATTGATACGCTGTCACAGGCAGACACCAAAGCGTGTGGGCATGCTACCAAAATGTAACACCAAGTTGGCATAGTCTCAAATCTGTTCATTTGCAGCAGTGATCAACAAGCACCGTGTTTCATAAGTCAAACTCACCCGGATAATGTCTCCGTCTGCGTCAAGCATGTCCTGCCAATCTGACCCGCCACTCACGCTGTACTGCACCGTGAATGCAGTTATGTAGTTGCTAGATCCTGTGCTATATCCCTGTATCACAACTCCAGTGATTGCAGTGCGTCCACCGAGATCGACCTGGATCCATTGGTTAGCTGGAAGGCTTGGTATCCATCCCTGGATGCCTGTTGGACATAATGCCAAATTCATGACGACAGTTACTTTCTTATGAAACTCTCCATCGCAGACTCAGCATTTTCAAGCCGTTCTTATTCACTTACAATCACCAACTAGAAGAGCTCCGTCTATGAATCCCAATCATACTCTATGATTTGTTTTCCGCCTACAGAGATGCAAAGGCTTGTGGGTGCGAGACTCGAACCCACGACCTTATGGTTACTAGCAGAGGCATCTTTGATAATCATGAATAATAAAATAGTCGGTTCCAGCTGGCCAATTTGAATCCAGACGAAAGATAATCTTGGAATAATTTAAAAAGAAGACCTTAATAATTTTCATTTCTGAACTACATTTCTCAACGAATTTTACACTTTGTTGTTAACAATATCGACCGTGGTAAATCTCTTAGTTACACTGCAACTGCATGGATTAATGCAGGGAGATGGCTTTTTCTACTTCTAAAAAGGACAAATGTAATCCAAGAAAAGTATATTGAACAGAAACATATTTTCGAAAGCAAAGCTTCTATGAAAAACCTTGAATGAATGTTCACATTGCATCAGAACAATGTGAAATATTAGCATACCCTTTACTGATATTATTCTGGCAATTTTTCAAATACTAAAGGAAAGCGCAGAAGCAAGCAAGCAAGCATGAGTAATTGAAATTATCAAAGAATATAGATGACTATGCTAAACGAATTTAATCAAAGTTGTGAACTTTTTTTCAAAAAACTGCATGACCGGAAAAGTAAAAACATTAAAACTAATCTAACATTTAAATCTCGCAATCATATTGGTACTTGACAATGATTTTAGAAAAGTTCCTCCTATATTTGGGAATGACATACTTTTGTATACATAGTTAGATTCCGTGACGTCCCTTATAATGGACAGTTTGTCTTCCTTCTTAGTACATGTATCTTTGAAGTTTGAAGTTTTGTTTGTTGTTGTTTTGATTAATTCTAATTTTCGTGTAATTCAAACAACCCTGCTCTAGCTCTCCAAAGCAACGAAAAGACGCAACCGCCCTTACGTCGTCTAGTGTTCACAAGTCTCGTATATAGGATGACGGCTTTTTTCCAACATTGGGCAGGAAGTAATGCAGAGAACAAGGTTACGTGGCCGCGCACGAGATCACTAGATTCATTCTTCGATGATGTGTTAGATTTCAAGTGTTACCACTGAAACTCACTGGTGTAGCAAAAAAATTCATTATACACAGCAGAAGTGGCTTAACTTCAGTTATTGGCGTGCAAAATATGCCTCGTTACTAGTTGCAGACTTCAACGAAGCATACTGACATGGTCAAGTTATAGCTCTTGGTGGACTAGCAGTAGTTAACCCAGTATGCGTTCCTATATCAGCATATAACACGAGTAAAACTTATGCAGGCATGCACGTTGGTTAAATAAACGGCCATTCAGTTGTATAGGAATGTAAGCCATGAAGAGTTGTCAGAGCGAAAATGCAATGAGCAATCGTCAGTGCGGCTACTTTGGCAAAACAAACACACTTTAGTACTACTGGGAGATCATTTCTCGCTCTTTTAAACCTTTCCTCGTCAGATTCCTGCTCCAGCCGGAATTTGTCAGCTGAATTGTGAGCTTTCTAAGCATGAGGGTATAAAATCGGCAACACTGTGTGGGGAGTATTCAACCACTCCCCATTTTTAGTGGTTGGGAAAAATTAAGGCAGTTGATTAAGAGTTTGTTGGATTTCTTAACAACTAAAATGTATCTAGCAGCACTCAAAAATGAGAACAACAAAAAGCCATTCGATTCTGATGTAAGATTCTGCAGGAATGAGATACATATTACAGTTAAAAATCTGTATCATGAGCATCGCCCTCCGTCATGTGGTGTCAGAACCTCCCCCCTCCCGGTTTTCAAATGTTCCCCACCCCCGAATTTCTGGCACCAATTTACGCCAATGTTTTAAAGTGAGAGAGATAAAAGTAATTTATACGATGACGGGTCTTACCAACATTCAGTCGAGCTGTGTGTGGTTCAAAACCACTGTTAATGAAAGAGGATGCTGTTATTCTGCTGTCCTCGATGGCTCCGCTTTCCATTCCCAGCGGACCGCTTGTACAGGGAGCTATAACACACACACAGACATACATATAAGTGTGCGTTTGCCTGCAACTGGGGACCCTATTGTTCCTCTTTTGTTTGTACTTTAACTTTTTTAGAAGACCATCCATATGTTTTGTACACAGTTGTCAATCGGGGACCTTCTGTCAATCGGGGACCTTATTGTTCAAGGTCCCCAATTGAATGCAGAAACAAACTCACACACACAAAACAAAAAACAAATAAAACCCACCTGTTACGTGTATTAACATATTACTAACGAACTGACCGACCAACTTTGCTTACCGGTACCAATGAATTGACTAACCGGCAAACCTGTTGGCTATCAAACTGCCCTCTAACCTCTCTGGGGAAAGGTTTTCATGCTGAAAAATTTAATTTTCTAATGATCAGAAAACTGTTTTTTTCCCTAGCATTTTATTTCTACATATACAGAGAGCGTCCAAAAGCTCCTTACCGGAAGTTCTTCTTGGTGGCGCTGGTGCGTTGTTGATTGGATGAGCGAAGCAAAGTCCTTTAACCGAAAAAGTGCGATGATTACAGTGACGAAAGAGTGTGTGCCCTCTCAGACATCGATCATTATGTACAATGGAAATTATGCATGCTATTGAATAATTAGCCTCAAGTGGACCCAGAGAGGGCGCGGTTTTCCTTACAACGGAGGCTTTCTCGGTGGGATGTGCACTTCGCTGGTTTGCAAAGGACTATGAAATGCATGCGTTGCGGTCGGATAGCTATCAACTAAGCTAGCAATTCCTTACTTCAACAGACGAGGGGGTGCTTCTACTCAAGGCGGATAAAGATTTTAAATATGTCACCTGCCTTCGTTAACAATTACTTTAGACCATGGTTTTGTGAACGGAATTTTGCTTGGTGATCTGTTGATCGTACGAGTTGGACAACTGGGATACTCATTGAAATCCGACAGAAGCGAGCGACTTGGAATGCAATCGAGTGTTGGCCTCGTACTCGTGGATGCAGGAAAACGAAAGAACTCTCGAATCTACAAAGCTGTAGCGTATGTAAGGGGTATATATAAGTCGTAAGTACGAGATGACCACGTACGTATAAGTTGTGATTCACATGTGGCTTGTACAAAGTACAGCTCGTACGAGTGTTGCCCGTAAAGGCGCCTTGCCGTATGCGCATCAACACTTGCGCCAAGCGTTGCGTATATCCGTCACAATAGCTCCCGGGGCGGCTGGGAGGGCCGAACACAATGCACACGTGTGTTATGTTAATGATGTCGATTTCTGTGTCACGAAAGTGAAACGCATGTACGCATTGTGTTTGCAATACACCGTAAAAACGCATATATGGAAAGGTGCCTTAAGGCGCACGAGATTATACGTACAAATTAATATGATTTCATAAGTCCTGCATAGACATACGATCATTTTATGGGCCCAGAGAATGGCCTCCAAGCCCTAGTCATTTTTGCTAATTTCTTCAGTAAAAACGTTTTACGGCCAAATGCAATCACGTCCCATTTCATCCCCCCTCTGTTCATGCTGAACGTCGGGGATTCCCCTTAGCCAGGAAAAAAACTCCAGCCGGGTCTGGCAAAGTGCTATTCAACCGTGCTCAAACAACTCTGCCAGGCGCCCTCATCGGATTATTTACGTAGCTGACGCCAGGGCTAGCCAGGGCCTGTCATTTGTCATGTCTACCATGCTTGCAATCTTCAGACGTGAGGGGAAAAATAAACAGGAAGCGAGGTACCAACACTGAGCAGCCTCAAAAATGGTCGAAAATAAAACGGTAACAAGCAAAATATGACTAATATTGAAAGTTGCAAACATACCGTTAAGTTCTATGACCACCAACGCTGTTAGAATGCTGTAAAATGCCATCATGCTGGAAATGTAGGTGTTTTCCGAAGAGCAAAACTCTCAGCCGGCAGTTTACTGTATTAAGACCAACTGTGAATCGAAATACCGAACCGTCGTCTGAGAATATATCGTATGAGTATTGTGCAGGGATGATGCTCACGATTGATTAAATGAGAAAAACACACGCAAAAGATATAGCATTAATGCTGACACATAGAATGAACTTGGATATCTGGTGAGGTCCCACTGTGGACGGTGCATCAATCATTATCAGGTGTAGTGCGCTGAGCTAACTCAGATGGGACCACAAAATGAGTTTTCCAGACTGACTTTAATTGCCACACTGAGTTAGTGGTGACCCATTAATTCAACGTATAACTGTCTGGGTATTCAGGTGTTCTTGCTTCAGTTCATACAATTACAGCGGTCCGTAATAATAATGTGTCTCCACGTACTGGTAGAGTTAGGCAGTTCCATGGTCCATAAAGCACAGACCGTCGCCACTTCATTGGCGTTGGCTTCTAGGATTTGGCGGATTGGCAATTGTAACATGCACTTGATCTGACAAACATATGCTATTGATGTAATGATAACACGAACAATTTTGGCCAAATGCTTGGCTTAATTTTGATAATTGAGGAAGCTAATTTGTTTTCATCTAAAGACAGTCTGTTCAGCTATACTTGAAAAAAAAGTCTTGTGTCAATATATAGGATTTCCAGAAATTCATTCTGATTAAATATCTATAAAAATAAAGTTAGTAACATTTTATTTAACTTGATGGGTTTTTCTTTTTGAAACAAACATCTTAAACGTTTCCTATTGCCCTGGTTCCAAATGAGGTAAAACGGGAAACATTATGAAGCGCCTCATGGCCCGTAAGAATGACACTATAACGGATGTTGAATGAATTAAATTCTTTTTAAAAAGTTACTGGCAATTAATTGTAGTACACAGATGCCCATATATTTCACAACCCCTGCCTATTATCTTACCATTCCAAGAACGTAATTAAGATCCAGAAAATCCAAAAGAGGATTGTTACCTCTTTAGAACAGCTATATACACCAGGGTCTTTCATTTTTCTATCATGAAATCAGACACACAGGTAGATCAGGGTTGTTAGTAGGTATTGTACTCTACAAATCCTTTTCGTCATGAATTTCATTGTATAAAAAGAGGCCTTGCAACTGTCCATAATTTGACATGTTTACAAACCAGATTGATAGAAATTTTTAAAGTCATTAATATATTATTGATGTAAAACATAAAGAAACAAAATAATGTCTTTGACATCATAGGATTTCAACACCTTGATATCATAAGACACCAACGTAATTCTTGAAGCAAGTTCATGTTTCACACCATAAACGCTTCCAAAACACATATGTAGAAAACCTCCGTTGTTGAGAATTCGTGTGCTACCACCATGGTTTGTATGAATGGAGATCAAGACTGTTACACATTCAAGAATTTTTCTCTGAGATACAATTTCAAATGTGACCAGATTGAAATTTTCTGCGAAATGACATTCTCGCAAGAAAACGAGACAATGATAACAGTTCTGAGCTTACCCGAGGCGAGGGGCTCAAGTCGGTGAGTTACAGGTAGATTCATTCAGTGAGTTTGACGTCCCTGCTATTTCGTGTTGGTGGCATGGCGCGGCCATTTTGATTGGAGACCCCATTCGTACCGAAAGGTCAACAGCATTGTATTTTCACCGGTCACTGGACCTCTGTAAAATCGAAAAGGGGAGGGAGAGGGCTCTACACAATCTTTTAAAGGTGGCCCTGCTCCAAGCGGATGGGCAATGGATGGTGCTCCCCATACGGCTGCACTATTTCTGTCGCTCAGTGCGACATCAATAAAGGGTACTGTGCATGTAAAACGGTGTCCTCGTGATAGAGGCTCTTATTGGGTGAAGTGCAGTGCCTAACACGAGAGAATGGCCAATTGTCACAATTTCCCACGCTAGTTGTCACGCTGTCTTGGTGGCTTTTCACTATTGGTTTCAAGTCAAACAAATGCCAAGAAAAGCTTCAAACTGTACCAAATCTTTTTCAAGCTTCATATCAGGCACATTTACAATAAAGTTGTTGCTGAAACCACTATTTGAAAGGATTGACAGAACAAACTAGACACGAATACGTAAACCATACGAAAAAAAGCCAACAATTCGCATTGTAGCAACATAATTTCCAAAGAAAATAAAAGTATGAAGAGTTCTCTTTTCTCTTGTATATTGAGGGCATTCCTTATAAAACAATCGAACCTTTATGATCATGCTAAAGTTCACGATGGCCACAAAGGTGGTGCTCACAACACAACTTTTTGTACAGTACAGAAAATGTCAGGCAAGTCACTGTCAATTTAGCAAGAGCTTTAGGGATTGATCCTTTTGCCTTTATTCTCCATCCATGCATCTTCGTCTCGGTCAGGAAGTTATGCATAGTAATCAGGGGGTAACTATAGTAACCTAGATGTTGCATAAGTGAGCAACAATGTTTGTCAAACGCTCCTCCAAAACGCTTTGTATTTTTTGTGAAGGACAACATCGTCACTTAATTGAAATGACAACTCTCCGCGCAAAAAGGGAAAAGACTGGCAGCCACGAAGACAGTTGTCACCACGTGGACATTCTCATCACCGGCCAGTTCCCGGTCATGCCTGTACCTGTGCGACTGTTTTATGGTAGCTAATACATCCCTCATGTCCCCACTAACTATATTTCATTATTCTGCTGTGGAAGTACAAGTAATACCAGGTCATAATCCAAACAGCCGTGGCCAGTCAGTACATGCTTGTGAACAAAAGAGCAGCCACGCCCCCAAAATCACACCATTACTTTATGTGGTTTTTTTTCTCCAGGTCAGTTTCCGGTCATGCCTTAACCTGTAATTTGTCGTACTTTGTTTAGGGGATGGATTCTCTTTTCAGTGTTCTCGGTAGTTGGACATTATTTTTATTTACTTACACTTCCTGCTTATTGAAAACGCTGCTCATACACCACGCGGGGCACAGCAACACCAGTCTCTTACCGACGTTCATGCCGCTTTTAACTACCCTACTTCAGCTTACCCTACTTGTTTCTGATACCAATGATGCTCACACCATTCCGTCTAATATCCCAACAAATGAGCAGAGATGATGTTATTCATCTCTTGTCCCTGCTAAGGACAGGGATGGAGCTTCCCTTCCCCAAACCAGCCTTGGAAATGATGGCACGCGTATCAATTTCCGTGTGTCTGTGGTTGAGGGTCGATGTTACCTCTAAGATCCCCCTTCCATTGCCAGGAATTGTGGTATCACCTCAAACGTCCCTCCTGCTGAATTGAATGGTTCAGCTTTTCTACCCCAAAACAACCAACGGTAACGATGTCGTCTCTCTAATTCCTTCAACTGAAGGTGATTGTGATATCGTTCAGTTCCTTCATCTACGGACTAGGAAAATGATAATGGTGTATCATTACTTCCCGGCCCTCTATCAGGGATGATAACAAAAGTGTGCTTTCCCAAGCTTTTGAACCTGAAGATGTTGCTTCTCTTTTCCGTCCCACTTGAAATGAAGATGTCCCCTCAAGTAACTTCTTGTGAGGATAATCATGCCGCTACTGTACAGGCTTCTTGTGAAAATGGCAAAGTCAATTCTCTAGGCACAAATGAAGACAAGTCTACGGCTCTTACCATTTAAGGTGTTACAGCTTGATGTCCTTGTAAAACGAAGGAACGAGGACGCTCAAAGCTTTGTCTCCTCGAAGCCCGGTTCCGCACAGTAACTGTCTAAGCAAGGGTGAGGGTAGGGGCAAACCTTTCGGATAGAATTTCCCAGATTTTACCACCCCTTTGACTACAATGTTGCTACTTTTGAGTGTTTCCCTGCCCCAAAGTCCAATTCCCTCTGCCCTGCAAAACCATATCGGTGGGTTTCAATACCGCTCAGAATTTGCAGGAAACAAAAAAAAAAAAAAAAAAAGCATTGAGTAAAACGATTGCGGACACACCGTGGATCAATCTCTTGAGTATGTGTGGTTCTGAGAAGACTGCAGGATTCTGGCTGGGAGTGGAGCTAATATGGTGTAGAGAGGGATCCAGATGTAGAGATTAGCTCGGTAAAGCGTTGAGGTGGGAATAGTGAAGGCGGGAACAATGGATGCTGCACTGGATCCTGGTACTGCATTACCCGAGTGTGTGCTTACTCAAGTGTGTCAATTGCAGTTGGCAGTGGGAGAGTGAACAGCTGGTTGCCACGGGTAGAGAAGACCCATAGGCTAACTAAGGAGGGAACCTAACTGGGGAGTCCTAGGGTATAGGAGACCCATTGGGATGTGAGGATGGGGCGCCAGATATTGCTGATGCTGAAGCCGATGTCTTTGGGATACCACCCTTCGATGCTGGTGATGAGTTCAGCTTAAAGACGGACAGAGTACACTGTTCGAAACGTCGAGTTATTCCCCTAAAAAGAACACATTTTTCTCTTTATTTCCAAAGTGGCTGCCTGTAGCTTTAACATTAATAATTTCCAACACTTGTTTTTAGTTCTAATCAAGATGGCCTTCGGCGTTTGTTTCAATTCCACTTCTCAATTTGTATTTGAACCCGATATTAAAATTCCAACCCCGGCCTGATTCCCGTTTGAAAAGGTAATTTTTATTTTCATGCACGTGGTGGAAACTGAGATACATTAACGCCACACCGCAACAAAGATCTCTTTGTAACACGGAATTGCCTATACGGCAGAAGTTGATATTTATTCACACAGTGACTTTTCAGGGAAGTCGGAATGGAATCTCGGGAAAAAAAAATCGTAGTTATAATTTGTAGTAGCAAAAATTCAACGTCTAGAAGAAATGACTAACACTAGTTGCAAATATTAGGTTCTCCCAAAGTTTTTCGGCTCTTGCCAGCGCGCGTGTCAATTTCAGTCAAGCGTATTTTTTTTCTCTAGGAGAGCTGCAACAGCGCCCTCTTTTGCCGCACAGCCACCTCATTTTGCAGTTAGCTCGATCTATCAGGGCGATAGATCCCGACTAGGTCGATGTTAAACGATTGTAGCAGGCTATTGATACGAGGTTGTTTGTTGTCAGAATTTGTCTCTATTATTTTATGATCATAATAAAGCTGGTCTAGTCCTGTGACACGACGACGTGTGTCTGCAGTTGTCTGTACAATCCATCCCCGGAGGAGAGGGGAAAAAACGCGTTGCTGCATTTATTTTGGAACATCAGTCTGAGCGGAGTCAAGAAATTGTTTTTCTTCTCCTTAGGGTTTTCGAGAACAAAAGTCAGGAAAAATCGATATGTGAAAATGGTACAACTCATGTACTGAACAGCGGTGTCTAAAGAGATCCACCCTGCCTAGTCACAACCACTTTCTTGATCAGAAAATGTGTAGTCCTTTATGTCAAATTATGTTGTTACGTTGATGTATGCGCCTTCAGCTGGAAGGAGAAAAGTGGCAATTGTCCTAGCAACGGAGGCTTCTTTGGTCAGAACTGCTCATGACTGGTTCAAAAACAACTGTGAAATGCACGCGCTACGGGCGCGTCGCTACCAGCAAAATGAACACTCCTGGCCTTGATCAACCGATAAGGGGGGTAGTTCTACTCAAGTTGGAAAAAACAAGAATCTCCCTTCATGTAATTTGGAATAGGTAGTGTGCTAACTTCACGAACAGCAATGAATGCTTTTCTCAGATAATAAAAATAGTCTGTTTGTTAGTACAGTTTTTAATAAAAAGAGACGGTAAACAAAGATTACAGGAATTTTAGTTCTAAGAGCCTATCTTAACATCTAAATTTAATGTGATATTGTTCAGTAGCTAAATGTTATAAGTTTCACTGTTCTATGTTCCTCAGAAGCTGCAACATCGACTGACATTGGCAAATTTATCATGCAAATCTAAGAGGTGTTTTGACAAAGTGATCTGTTTAACTATATTGACAATTGCTAGTTTAATTTTCCTTGCCGCTGTTATGTTTGCAAAGAACACCGAATGATATAACCAAAACAGTAATGGACTGGTGTTGGAATTCAATTTGGGACGAATCATTTCAGCTCAAAAACGAAGCACTGTATTCTTCCGCGGAGACTACACTAAAAACACGAGGAAGGCAAACACAAGGCATACTTCAAGGGAGTTGAAACACAGAAGAGATGCATCAGTCTTTATCCTGAAATGATACAAACACAGAATACCCAGAAAAAAAATGAGAGGATGAAAAAAAAAGATGTAACTGAGGTTGGAAATGTAAATTAAAATGACACTGGATAACTCAAATGACTTAAATTTAGTGCAGTAATCATCTGACTTTTTTTTGGGGGGGGAACAAACTTGACCAGGAGGGGTCTTAGAAGGTGTCCAAATTACTTTGCTGTAGCTTATAATAACACATCACCCTATGAACAATGGCTGCAGCCACTATCATAGAATCGTGCGTAATTTGGAAGAAGCAGGGATGTAATTCGGACAAGGCTTTATCAGCTGCAAGAGTTCCTTCAAATGACCCTTTTGGTATTAAGAAAAGGATATCCACCAAAAATATGGATATTGATGTTGACATTCTTCAACTTGTTATGGATGCATGACCTTCCAAGCGTGATCGTCGATTCAACAAGCTCACCTTATCGAAACAGAACCAATAATATGCTGCCACTAAGTGGCAGTAAGCCACCTAGTTGTTCTTACCACTTTGACAGATGACACCGACATCTTGACTGTGGCTGCATTGGGGCTCTGCCCAACACGAAGACGGGCAGTCACCGAAGTTGCCCTCTGATCCAGTGCACGCCACACCGTCCATGTGGACAGGACCACTGCCCTGACCGAAGTAAGCACCGGATTTGGCCGCCTGCGCCCCGGAGAAGCCCAGAAAGCGACAGACCACAGCAGCGTCGTTGATGTCCCAGTCATTGTCGCAAATGCTTCCCCAGGTGTTGTTACGGTACACCTCCACGCGACCGCTGGAGTTATTGGAACCCCCAACTAAGCGGACGGTATCTGATGAGGTGGCAGAGAATACATATAATGATATCAATTTTGCTTCCATAATCACTTTAGCAAGGACCTTGATATTCAAGTGAGAGTTACAATTCCCTTGACATTCTTTAAACAAGAGGCTGGAAAGTATTAAACCTCGTCTCCGTTCAGAAAAAAAAAAGAAAATTAAGATTGGTTGTGTGGATCGTGTAAATTTTCTTGCCATTTACCATGTTACCAGGTTAGAATCAACCAGACAGAGTAGACAAGTGAATAATTTCACTGAAAATGCTTTTCCTTTTGGCATTTCTTTACTCCCTTTGATCAGAATAGTTGTTGGTAGTGTTCTCGTTGAAGCCAAGTTTTAGAGTGGTTTAGCTATCCTGACAAAATGTGGATTTAAACCCGCGCTGCACGGAAGATCATACCGGTGCCTAACCAACGGAGCTCCTCCACCCCACTTCAGTTAGCGTTTGTCAATTTTTCAAGGTCTTTCTTGTTGAATGGCTACTGCAAACAAAAGAATTTCTAATTGCAACGTAATGCTTGGAGTCTTAAAAACTTACTCATTTTGGGTCGGCAAACTACAGTGGCGGTGCGTGAGCTGTTACACTGCTGATAATCAGTGCAAATGAACGGGCAGTCCACCAGGCGATTCTCCGTGCCTTTACAGGCGACTCGGTTCATGACGATCGGGAGGTCAGTCTCTGCTGAGCTCGCCCCAGCTTGAACTGCCTCCAGGAATCGGTGGTGTTGGCGGCAGGCGATATTGGCGTCGCTTAGATCCCAACCGTTGGAACAGACGGCGCCCCAGGTGGCTGTGGACTCGTGATAGATTTCCACACGGCCACTGAGGGCGTCCTCACCGTCCACGAGCAAAAGTGATCCATCTGATACTGTAAAATAAAATGCACGAAGTGTGCACACTTCATTAAACATGTAATTGTTCCATCTGAGACTGTAGAAATAGCAAAGACCTGCACGATAATGGCCACATTTCATCGATTACCATACGTAATCTGGATATTTACATTACTAGTTGGGCTCCTTTATAGACTGAATATCTTGTATTTTCACCGTGACCAATTTCATTTACAAATGATATCGTTTTGAAAAGAAATACTAGGACCTTTGTTATCTACTTCAACTGTTTAAAGCACATCAGCATTGGTGCACTAATTTGCATGACAAAATATAAAGGCGTTTTTGCGAATTCAATTTGCTGTCAAGTCGACTTCTGTTTCCCCTTCAGTGTGCACGTATTACCTCGACACCCCAGCACTTCGAATCTCACTCTGTAGGTTGTGTAATCCCAGATCTGAGGTAATATACGGAGATACCTTGCCATCGGTACCACGGGGAACGTCACATTTGTTGGTCGTCCACTGCTTACACTAAACTGAAACCAATTCATAGTGATAATACATAATGCCTCATTAACAGTATTCAATTGGTAAACATCCCTCCAAAAATGAGAAATTATGTACACGGTTCGTCAGTGACTTCGTCAAAAAGGCGGACACGCCACGATTTGCAGGCTCCCATTGGACGATCGCTGAAGTTGTGCGTCCACTTCTGGTTCCATGTAAACGGCGATCAATGCATGTAACCCTATGTGCAGTGCATGTACAGTGGGCGTGGTTTAAACTGAAGTGACGTCACACTTACGAACCGGATACGCCACAGAGCTATTTGCATACTGTAAGGGCTAAGTACATGTACAGTGGTAGCAGGAAATAGGAGCGTATGTAAGGCCGCATAAAATAATATATTTTTGATCTTTTTTTTTTCAGACAGTTTGTTCGGGTAGGAGGCTTCTTTTTTTCCTCATGACAGCACTTACCTGACATGAAGTAATTGATTGTTGCAGTTCTACCCTAAAATAATTACATTTTCGAGTATTTTGCTTTTTATCTTGGCTCCATGTCAATAATTGATTTCATTTACGATTTTTCCTATTTCTACGGAGCCAACGAGTCTGATGTAAGTTCAGAGCTGTGTGAAATAGAGCAAAATCTACTGACCTAACGCAATGTGTATCTAAGTGTATTGTGGGTGAAAAGTAGGGATATGGATCGGACACGATCATTAGTTATGTGAGTCTTCGCACGACTTTAGACGGAGCTAACTTGCGGTTTCGTGGAAGCTTGACAAAAATGGAGGTCAGGCGTTCGTCGTGTGCTTGATAAACAATGACACAAAACAGTTAACACGAACCATTTTGATAAACAACCACCGTGTTTCGTAAGTAAAAAACTCACCCGGATAATGTCTCCGTCTGCATTGCGCAGGTCCTGCCAATCTGACCCGCCACTCGCGCTGTACTGCACCGTGAATGCAGTTATGTAGTGGCTAGATCCTGTGCTATATCCCTGTATCACAACTCCAGTGATTGCAACGTGTCTACCGAGATCAACCTGGATCCACTGGTCAGCTGGAGTGCTTGGTATCCATCCATTGCTGCCTGGTGGACAAAATGATATGAATTTATACGGATAGGTACTTTCTTAACCAAACTCCCCGTTACAGACCCAGCATCTTGAAGCTGTTCTTATTCCCTTCAATCCCCAACCATAAGAGCTCTGCTCATGAATGTCAATCACACTCTGTGATTTCTTAGCCAAAGTTAGTACCCATTTCTGATGAATCAGTTATCAACTGATGTTTTTCTTTGTTCATGTACATCCTCTGTTTCTTCTCGGTGATTTCCGCCTAATGGAATTTAGATGGACTTGAACCCATGGCTTTTTGGTTTATGGTAGAGGTGTCTTTAATAGGCGGTTCTGCTGAATTTGATTTCAGACGAAATGTAGTTTTTAATAATTTAAGAAGAAGTTCACCTTAACCATGTCCACGTCTCATAATCATTTCAAATATTACACCTAATCCGACTACCCAGCGTTGTTAACAATAACGATAGTGCGTTAAATGTCTGCAGTATCTCATCGATTAGTTTGTGTTTTAGGTAACGTGGTGGGTGCAAGACAATCTGGGCCAAAAACGGACCATAGTGGTTTGCACGTGCATTTGTATAGCTGGAGGAGGAGTCTGGGAAGGAAATTCACACCAGACAGAATTATCAAACCCAGTGGACTTTATTTGAAATTTGCGGGAAAAATAATGAGCTTGCGAAGAAACAAAGATGTTGCGCCTCGATAAGCCATCTAGCACTTGATGCCCATGCAGTATACTGGCTTGGCAGCATGGCCTGTGGCATTGTGGTTAATGATTCTTTCATGGTACCTGAATTTTGGAACGGAATATGCTAAACGACTTAAATCAAAGTTCTGAACTTTTTTCAAGAAACTGCATGACTTGAATAAAAGCTTACGATAGTAACATTTTAATTTCACAATCATTATTGGTATTTGGAGAATGATTTTAGAACTCATATTTTGGGGCTAACACACTTTCGTTAGCACTTTTAGATTCCAAGATGTCCCATAAACATGTATATTTTAATTTTTTTGGGTCGTTTTCAATAATTCTAATTTTCATGCACTAAAAATAGCATTGCTCTCCAGAGCAACCAAAAGACGCAATTGCCTTCAAGTCTCCCTGTGTTCCCAAGTCTCGTAGCAGGGACAGGACGAGGCGCGTTTTCTTACCAATGGACATGGAGTCTTGCAGAGAACCAGGTAACTGGGCCGTGCTTGAGACTCATTCTATGGTCATTCTAACTATCGAGTGTTACCACTGAAACTCATTAGTGCTGACATTAGTCCCATTAAACATAGCAAAAGTGGGCCAATGTATGTTTCAAGCCTGCAAACTATGTCTTGTTACTATGCAGGCTTTAATTTTCATTCGAGCTTGTATATGCGTTCCTGTGTCCGCATGATACACTCATTCAGAGACGTTGGCTACCTGGATAAACGATCGTCCAGTTGCGCAGGAATCTAAGCCAGGAAGAGTTGTCCGAGTAAATGCCTTGAATAATCGTTTCTGTGATCGCTACTTTCGCGTAAAAAGCATCTCAGTACTGCCAGGGAATTTGACAACTGAATGGTGGGATTTTCTAAGTGAGATAGATAAAAGCTATCTGATGATGGGCTGTGATCTTACCGACATTCAGTCGAGCAGTGTTTGGAGCAAAACTACTGCCGTAGACAGAGGACGCGGTTATTCTGCTGTCCTGAATGGCTCCGCTTTCCATTCCCAGCGGACCACTTACACAAGGCACTATAACACAAAAAATAACACACATTACGTGCATGACGAATGTATTTGAAAACAACAACAGTAACAACACGCATTTATAACAGTAACATGGCAAATAGGCCTACAGTATTTGCCTACCATTCACATACTGGCTAGGGCCAAATTCAACTCCTTTTCATCTGACCAACCAATTGTGAAACTAGCTGACTTGCTTACTGACTATACAAGTCACCTAACAACTATCTGCTTGACAAACCGTCATACCCACTGGCCGACAACCGGACATAACCACAAAACGCCAGTGCCCAACGGAGTGGCAACGAAACAACCAGTAAGGGCACATTCAGACAACCTGTCGATTGATGCATTGTCTGAAGATCCCACCGACAAGCAATTATTTAACCTAGTCACAAGCCTTTTAATCAATGACTGAACGACGGACCCAGTTATACCGTATGATTGACCAACATCCTCAATGCCGAGGGTACCGATCATTCGAATTGACGAAATGGCCTAGTGATCCAAATACCAACGACTGAGTGAACTGCTTATAGCTCCCCATAATACTGATAAGCACACAAACGAACTGACCAATCAACTGTTGCTTACCAATGAATTGACTGACGCTAAAACCTGTCGGCGATCAAACTGACCATTAACCTCTCCCCGGAAAGGTCTTGATGGTGACATTTTTGATCAGTCACAAAACTCACGTTTTTGCATTTTATTTCTACTCTAGGAAGAGTATTAAAAAAGCTCCTTACCGGACGTTCGTCTTGCTGGTGCAGGTGTATTGCTGACTGGATGAGCGAAGCACAGTCCTAAAACAGAAGAGATGCAATAAATATTAAAAGTATTGATGAAGAGCATATGCACTCCGATGACTACATGATTGCCATTTACCTTTAGAATAGTGAGGATGTAAAAGTTTTAACATGTATAAGCTACGAGTCATACATTGAACGTGTTACACCCTTGCACCTAGTAGAAGTGCGAGTTACGATTCATCCTACAGGATGGCAAAGTCTTAACAAAATAAGACAAAGGGCTAACACTAAACATTAATCACTGGCCATTCTTTTAATGATGCTTCTACTACAAAGAAACCAAATTTGTATCGAAAAATAAGAGCAATTTGCCAGATAACTGTGGGAACGTCTGTTAAAACACAAACTGATTTGGAATGAAACAACTTCTGCCTGTGCCAACTGTATGCCAGACTGAGAGAGCTCTGGCATTGCATCAAAGGAACGTTGAAAAATGCACATTTGTGCAGTGGGAAAAATATTTGCATTCGGTTAAAGATCGGGCAATCTATAAGGCGAGCGGAAATAAAACGTTCAATCTCTGTCGGCTGGTAATGTTCGTATACAATTTCACTCATAAACACCCATTGACATTGCGTGTATGGTATTGCGTTATAAGCTGCTAAATAAACGGAGCCGAAAGGATAGCAAGAAAAAACTTTGAAATATATGACAGTGTTAGAAACATACCGGTGAGTACTACGACCACAAGCGCTGTAAGAATGGTGCAATAGGGCGGTGCCATCATGCTGGAAATGAGTGCGATGTCCGAATAACACAGCTTTTCCCAAAGCCGTTCAGTGCAGTGGCACCAAGGAACAAGTATGTCACATCGACGAAAACACTGATGTCAACAACCGTAGCCTACAGCCTTAAATACCATTCAAAAGCCTAGGTATAGTACCTTTGAATTATATCATTGTGTATGTAGAGTGAGCAAGATGCTTTATATTACAAAGATACAAGGAAGCATCTGACAATACCGGGTAATAAGGCCAAGCATAGCATACAAGTTGTTATACCTTCCAAAGAATTGAGACCTGAGACAGTACACACAACTTGATCTAGTAACACTAGGGTTGGCCTTGAAGAATTAGAGGATGTAATTGAATAAGATTCAGTTCCAGTTAAATGCAACGAAATGACACTACCATACGTCCACATGATCTGATGAAACTCATATCACGCAGACGTCAAATGAGAGGGTGCGTTGCTTTGTTTTACAGGAGATGGGAGAACAATTTGTACACATGATCTGATGATACTCTTCGAGGTCCGGCGTCATCCGATCATGTGTTGTAATAGAGTATGAGAAAGTTGATAATCAAACATAACCAAGAAAATATGCCAGCAAATACAACCTCTGCGATTTCAATGTCACACCAGCTGCCTGGGACCAGAGCTTATTTTTGAGAGTATTGATTACTTGTTCACGTCCCCCTTTTCGCTGACCTCTGCGTGGTTCGACACTATTTGTAAGTGGGTTCACTTTCTAGTTGGTAAAGAAAATGCCGTATCTTTAGAATGCACTATTCCTTCTCGAAGGTTCCTTAAAATAACTGTGCCTCTTAACAAGCAGATTTGAACTGAAGTTAAACCTAGATTTCACATCAACGTAAAGAAATCACCTCAGTATCGGCCTAAGTCCACAATTGTAAGCAATCTTAAAGAAACGCTTTATTACGACTGACGAAAAAAGGTCAGTAAAGTGGACTGTCTTCAAGATACCATTGTTTTGCTCATTTTGCCCCTATACCGAATGAGATAGAGCTGATCACATGCGAAATGCTTCGAATAAAAATACAGATTTAACTCTAAGCAATAGGATGCAAAGAAATAAATTTAAATGATTTCTTATTCAAGTTCCAGACGTCGTTTTGCTTGCTCTCTTTCTCGAATGACGACACTCATTGTCTCTTCCGTAGTTATCTACGCGAAGACACGTTGTGTACTGTCGGCAATCGTTACGATCATATGGAAACTGGGGTCCATACAGAACGCATCTGTTCTTTAGACACTGAGTACGGTATGTCTTTTAAATTAAAATTTATCTAAGGCGTTTAATTCTCAGGCCCTGTGCGTCCCCTGGTGTTGAAAAATCAAAAACCCACTTCACGACCGTCAACTGATGTGCCCTTTCATGAATTGCCTATAATGTCCTCATCTGAAGGCCTCGAATAATCGAAATAAGAGTCCCATCCCTTTGCTGCACGGAAAGTTGTACAACGCTCACCAACCTGGTGCATCACCCATCGCACGGGTTCTTGGGGGTCGCATGTGTGTTTGCTGAGATCGATAGTCTTCAGAGCCATTTTGAGGAAAATCTTCTCGTGTCTTTATTCTCAGCGGAGAATATGATTAGCAATATTTATTAATTTTAAATACGCAAATAACTTCATACGAACTGTAACTTTAAAAAAACCCGAAACGTTTCAGCAGCTGATCCTGTCATATCTTTGTCTTAAATACTGCTTTTCAATTGGCCCAGACCGATCACGTGACAAGGTGACATGAACACACTGTGGGGCAGGCACTAGTCATTTCGCAACGTGATATCAATGTGGCATCTAATTGTAATGGGGACAACCGTTTTTGTCGCCTGGTCATGAGATCGTTTTAGACCTGCTGCTGTTTTTTTTAAAAGGACGCTGGTATGTTTTTGGAAAGACTCAAGTACACTGTGGTATCCGGTAAGGGATGATGTCTGCGCTGAATCTTTAAGTGTACCATCTAAAAGTTTCATGAAACGTGTTCAGCAAATGTTTGTACAAAATTCTGCGCCGTAAAAAGTTAACTCTCTCATTGCTACGTGTAACTAGGCAAAGTTAAGGCCACCATGAACACAGTGCGTACACATTTTGATTTTCATAGTTAAGAGCCTCCATGTCTGGAATGCTTTTCTTCTCTCCAAAGGAGCCTGCACTTGAGCTTTACTCTTAGAAAGGATGACAGAGGCTAACACTTTATTAATTTGAGTACAGGGGCAGAATGATTGCTTTCACCCCCCAAAAAAAATCACAATTGAAAACACTGAGTAGGCCTACTGAACGCACTCTATAGGGCTGAGCCTTCAAAAGTTTTTCTGCTGGTGACCAGTTTCATTCTTATGTTACTCAGACATACCGTTTTCGCGAAACAGCCATTACCCTCAAACAGGTCAGCCAAAAATGTGTTGTTTTTCCCAATGACGCATTCGAGCACACGGACCAACGCACACGAGGCGATGAAGTACACAAAAAGATTATGCACATGGGTTTATTCCGTTTCCTTATAATGTTAATCAAGAAACCCACCCATTTGTTCTGCACCCACAATGGCCTAATGATACTCTGCGAGGTCATTTGTCATCGGATCATGTGTTAGTAGAAAATATGAGCAAGTTGATTAACATTACGAGGAAATGCAACCAAATACAGCCCGCCGATTCCAATATCATGGCAGTGCCCTGGACCAGTGTTTGGTTTGGAGAAGGCATTACTGAAGTTAATTCCCTACGCCCCGTTTTCACTGACCTCTTCATAGCTCGACTTTATTTAGGACACCGTTACCTTTCTATGTTGGGAAGAAAATGCTACAGCTTCAGCATACACCATTCCTTCTTGACGATTTGTTAACACAAAATTAATCCATTAACAAGTATTTTTTAACTCAAGCTGAAGCTCAGTTTTCACATGGACATAAAAACACTGACAGTTGTGACGGAACGGTCCTCGATGATACGCAATCGTGTGGAAACGCTTTATCTCGACTGACGTAAACACAGACGCGCACAGTCGGCAAATTCAGATGATCTCCGACTCTACCGACTGTCATGAACTCCTGTTGATAAAAATATCCTATTAAAGACATCCTGGCGACATCCTAAAGACATCCTAAACATATCCAAACTTGCTTCCTCTGGTACGCATTTTGTTTGCTATGGAAATAATGCGGGGGGGCCATCTTATGCTCATTTGCTTTTCCTTCTCGTTGCATTTTTTCAGTGTAAACATTCATACCATTGCTCAGTAGTCGTTTTTGTGTTATGAAGTTGTAGTTAATTTTTAAAAAGTACTTGCTCGTGAGGCGAATTTCTAGTAAACTGTCAAGAAATTTACAAATGAAGTTGGCCACCTTTACAATTAACCAACAATCTGTAGAGATGAACTCCGAGAAACGATTAAAAATATATTTTGCGAAACTATATGCCTTAGTAGGCTAAGGCATATAGTTTCGCAAAATATATTTTTAATACACAACAGCTGAAAATTATACCATGTAGCCTAATAAAGACTGTAATTCAGGATCATTTATACCCCTCAAATCGGTTTTTCCTGAAAACTGAAACCTAAGAAACGGTTCAGGCAAATTGCTGTCGCGTGCAAAATCGTGATATTTTATATAGTTCCAGTGCTATCTGTAGTTCCAGTGAAACGGTAAAACTAGTTTGGCCCCACATAACTCATTGTTGCCTTTACAGAGCATAAATCTGTTAAAATAAATAATTTGTCAAATAAAATAAATGCAGTGTAATTGGATTCTATGCAAATCTAATTTGATTCAAATAGATTTTGTAAAAAGTATTTTACCAAGTTATCTGCATTAGATTTGGTCATAAAATGCTGTTTGAAAAAGTGGCGACTTTTTTCCAAGTTCATCTCCTCATGCAAACGGTAACGACTTCGTCATGACAGTATACTCTTTTCTATCCGGCCATTTCATAACATTCACCACTGTAGATAGGCAATGGAAACCAGACCCATGATGTCATACAAATGATTGTGATCTATTCGGGACCTCCATGAATGATGGTTTCCCTTTCCTGTTATGGACTCTGGCTTGCTGACAGATATGGGTCTTTGGAGGGAATATTGCATTGTAAATCCTTTCGTTATTCGAGTATATTGCTGTGAGATTGGTATGTTTACACCAACATTGTGACGTTCCTAAGTTTTCCATTTTTCTCAGTAGATTGAGATAGTTTGAAGTCACTGCCCCCTGATCGAGTGTACGCCACACCGTCCATGTGCACGGGACCGTTGCTTGTTTGCGGTCGAGAAACATGTTCTGAGAGTCAACAGGGGATAAATGTATGCTTTTTCCAGTCCACTAGAACAGGAGAATGGACGCTGAAAATACCTGCGCCAAAAAATGAGAGACATTATCCCTCCACTCCTCTGAAACACATTTTGAAGATTTTGTCGAGTATTTTACTTCATTTTTTCCGAACACCTTTCGAGCCAGTTTATAGTATGCATTGTTCACGACTACTGGTAACAACATCCGTATTGTGGAGGTGACGCGGAGCCAGCCAGTGCCTTATAAACCGTTCAAATAAGACAAATCACGTGACGGTCTCTCGTCCACTAGGAATGGCCGTCATTTCTCAGGTATTTAGGGATGGAAATTTAAGATCTCTTAAGGGAAATGTTTCATCAGTATATTGCCTTAAGTCAAGTCCGGCTCAATATTAGGATGCTGTGAACGAAGGGAAAATTGTGGTTGGATTTCGATTGCTTCCGAAGTATTGCCACAATTTATTTCCCTTTGACCCAGTGGAGAAACTTCGATTAACCCCAAGACCATTCATTGTTACTGATTGTAATATCTGGAGTAATCGGAAAGTCGGAAATAAGGCAAATGGGCGGCGCTGTTCAAAGCAGAGGAAATCTTACAAAAGACGATGCTGTCTAGCCGTCCCCAGTTGAAGTGCACCCTCATTGACAAAGAAGAGACAGACTTGTGGGAAACTTCCCCACCTTGCAAATGCATGCACCAACACCCACGAAAAAATTGCTCATTTCAAACAGACATTGCCCGAGTTCTGGGCTAAATGGGCACAAATGGGTGCGCAAACACCGTGGGTTCTCGAACAAAACACAGAAAGCATAACCAGAACGAAGAGGTCATTGCTATGTAAAAGCACGCCCACTCTCGTTCCTGCTGGACTCAGACATAGCCCTTCAGTGCTGAAGATGGGTGCAATATTAAAAAGTGGTAGTGCGTAAAAGTCCCGAGTTCATTGGGTTCTAATGAGGGAAGCTGGAGGGTACTTGTTACAAAATATTAGGCGGGTTGAGTTGGGGTAGAACCCCACCCCCATGCCTGCTTGCCCTTTTTAGTACACTCATGTCAGACTAATGAAAAAACCTTTCTAAATGTTTAGTTAATGCCAGTTTACTTCAAATATTTAAAAAAATGAAACCGTGGTTGTATATTTTGAAAGGACAAACAGAAAAATAAATTAAACCAAGACATAACACAAAAATCACATTCCAATATTGAACACTGAAGAAGCAGAAACAAAGCAGTATAAAGGGTATCAATTTATAGAGGGTCTTTCTGTTTTCAAATAAAAACATATCAAACAAATGGTGTCCTACTGAAGTTCACGATTGTCACCTAAAAATTCCCTGACATTTTTGCCAGTGCAATACGTTTGCAGGCATGTTACCGTCACTGACAAGTGCGCCCTCACCCGGAGCTCAAGAGATGGACCCCCAGGACCTCCATTTCTTCACCAATGTATCCACAGCAACGCAATTCAGAAGAAGCTTTGAGAAACATAGCCATCAAGATGTTGCCTTGATCTCTGTCAAACGCTTCTTGGAAATGATCTGAATTGTATCAAGGACAACGCCGCCACGTTGCTGAGAATAATAACCTGCAATAAACTGTTTGAGGATTGCCTATAGAGCAAGCAGTGTTTTAGTTGAAACCATATTAAGGGCAAATAAAATGAGCTTATTTTGATATCCAAGTGACAAACGGGACTGAGAGATGAGAGATCTGTGAGAGAGGCCCTAGTGAATTTGAATGACCACCCGGTATATCCTGCACTAGCCAAGGCGAGACATCGGAGAATAGGGAGCAATGCAAGGAACACCGACTAAGAGAGAAGCCCCTGTGAAGTGTTAAGCCAATATGCAGTGAAACATTCCATGACTAGACCAGGCGTCGCGTCCCTTCATATGTCTCTGGCGTAGCACTGCCTTCATTTTCTTTAATCATAACGAAAGAGTCATTTTCTGCTATCTTATCATTTTAGCTTTTCACCTCTTTCCTTGCCCTTGCCACTGATAAGAAACACTGAGCAAACCCCATTAGGGATAAAGGTGTCTCGTCACCTGTTTCCACTACCAAGGCTGCTAATACCGTTACACTTTGCCAACACACCAGCGGCAATGGCGATATTCCTTCGTTTGAGTCCCATTTGAAATGGAAATGCCCTTCTTCCAATACCTTCATCTGAGGACGATGGTACCTCTTTTGCATGGCCCTCAACTGATAAACGCTGAGTCATTTTTCTTGACACGTATGAAGAAAATGGTTCTTGTTCAAGCGATAAAACTTGTTGTTCTTAAACGGCACACTTAACGAAAGAGGGCGCTCAAGGCTGTGCGGCGTTAAAGCACTGTCCAGAAAGGGTGAGGCAAGGGTTGGGGTAATGGGACTGCAATGAAAACGCATAAAGAAGTGGCCTCCCTACAACTGCTGAGTGGTTCCCCTTCCTTGAACTTCCAACCGAAAATATTAGCCACGCTAATATCACGTCGAATTTACAGAAGACACATTGAAAATTCTTTTTGCTGTAGAACGAAAATACGACAAATGCAATCAATAAGTGTCCCTCATAGTTAACTATGGCTCTCCTGCCCCCTCTCCGTTAATGGTGTGGTTGGGTTTGCTTCATTTTTATTTAGGAAAGGAGGAAGACCTTTTGTCTTTTCGTTTCATAAGATTTAACAGCCGAAATCGCTGACTGTTCAATATCAAATTTACTGCCAGCTTTTCTTCTAATTATTCTTCTAATTCTTGTATTTTAAGTCAGCACGGATGTTATTAATTTTCACATAGGGACTTCCTTGGGCTTGCAGATATAGGTAGCTGGATACAAACAAAGTAAATATGGGATGCGGCTTCAAAATTGTATTTTTAGTTGAACACACTTATTTGGACAAAACTATAAAGAGCAGACGATCTTGTCATGAATATGTAAGATGTAAAGATGTATATTCTAGGATAGCTTTCTTCACATTAAATTTTGGATTGCAAACTATTTCAAGCACCGTACATGTCCTGGTCATTGCTCAGACGTCTTTTTTATTACTCACATATTACACGTGATTACAGAAAATGGGGAGAGGGGCAATGTTTTCAGCCACTGTAGAAAAAATGAGCTTTTATAACTTGTCGTAGACATAAATGCTAAGATCGGACATAGATATAACTATCGTTCCCCACAAACGGCAAATCACTGGAAAATGAATAAAACAATACGCCATGAGTGTTAAGACTGTAAATTAATTACATTTCAAGGTTTCAAATAACAAGGTTCGGTGTTGCAATTTCATTGCGAATAAAAAGCTTGTAAAACTGTTTATAAGCTATAAAGTCGAACTTATTCAGTCACTTAAATGTAACAACGATATACTAAAGCTAAGTAGCCTAACGAATTGACAACAATAATAAACAATGGTGATAATGGTAATAAAGCTCAACGTTTAGCTAGGGTAACTGTCCCTGGTTACAAACTTGGAGGAAAAAACCCAACCCCCCCCGAAACAAAACAAAACACGAGGGTCAACAGCTTGTGTATAGAGAAATTAGCGCCAACTAAGACTTTGGACCAAAATGGCTATTCATTATGTGAGCAGGAACACCATGCAGCGATTGTGTGCTAATTATTCACGTATAGTAATGCACAATCATCCATTTTGGTTCCAACGATTGAGACAATCACGTCACAACTCTGTGTATAAACAGCTCCCTCTGTGGCACTCACCCAATAATACATGGTCAGTTACTTTTAGAAAAATCTGTACGACACTCTCGAAAGATTACACTGTTACAACATTGTGTAAGAGTTATTGATGCTTCTCTGTAGGACTTAACCAACAGCAATTATTGTTAATCTCAGACGGTAAACAACTATGATTTTGTTAATAAATTTTAATAAATAAAGAAAAGCAGTAAACACATAAAGGTGCTTTTCGTACTCATGGTAGCAGAAATAAATTCGAAAAGTTTTACTTTTTAATGTAGAATGAGCAAACTTAATGGAATGTTAAACAGCTTGTGATTAATGTATAGCGATGAACCTCATATACGTAAGCAACAATTACGTCTTTTCAAAAATTGAGATTGGTCCTAACCAGAGAAAGCCCACTGATTTAATTAAAACCGTGGTTAAATGACGGTAAAATTATTCTCTGGAAGAACATTTTAGCTCAATACAGACTCTGGATTCATCAATAAAGTTTACACTAAAATTGTTATACCATGTTTTCGGGAGGAGATATTTAAAACGTCCAAAACATTGTAGGCTTGAATAAATTCAACGCACAGTCTAAACATGCAAACTGCATACACTTCAAAAATAGTCCCACGTTGAACAGGACGTTGAACTCTGAAGAAATGCACTTATCTTTAGCCTGAAATGATATAGCCACAGAATATCAGAAAAGAATAAGAATAGGTTAAAATGGGGCACAAAACTCAAAACAATTCTTTTTCGATAAAAATTAAAAGAAAAATTTGATGACTTTGAGTGTAGTGATCCTCTGAATTTTAATTTTAGAGAAACTTGGGGAAGTGGCGAAACTTGACCTGGACTGGGGCTAAAGTCGTGTCTATATTACTTGCCTGCGGCTCAAAATTAAAAACAAACCAATGAGTAAAGGCTGCCGCCACTATCATAGATTTGTGTGTGAAGGCAAGCCACAGCAAAGTATCTGTACCACATCGACCTAATTAGCTGCTAGTGTTAATGAGATTGTTCTTACCACTTTGACAGATGACACAGGCATCTTGACTGTGGCTGCATTGGGGCTCCTTCCAGCACGAAGATGGGCAGTCACCGAAGTTGCCCTCTGATCCAGTGCACGCCACACCGTCCATGTGGACAGGACCACTGCCCTGACCGAAGTAAGCACCGGCTTTGGCGGCCTCTGCACCGGGGAAGCCCAACATACGACAGACCACAGCAGCGTCGTTGATGTCCCAGTCATTGTCACAAATGCTTCCCCAGGTGTTGTTACGGTACACCTCCACGCGACCGCTGGAGTTGTTGGAACCTCCCACCAAGCGAACAGTGTCTGGTGAGGTTGAAGAGAATGCAAAGTACACATGACCATTAGCATGTTCACCTCAGCAATAAGGACATTTCAATGGAATAGGTTGAAAATCTGATTTCTCAAAATAAAAACTGCCAGATCCCATTGGTTAAACTGTGGACCTTAAACATTTACGTCTGATTCTTTCTTATAACTTTAAATGAGAATATTTTTCTGACAGCTCGGGAATGATTATATTAAAACTTTTGTCAAACTTACACCTTTTTGTCTTGACAACAGAATTGATGTCCTGCACGATCACAGCCAATATAGAAAATAAAGACTGAACAATAAAAGGCAGGCAGAAGAGTAACTTGGTAAGAATGATCAGGGAGAAAAAGGACCGTCTTTACATAAGGATTTCATGCATATAGCCAAAGGGTTTCAGATGGTCTTAACTCGCCCCGAAAGCGTTAGCTGCCCGTGCTGAAATATGAGACAAGTCGGATTTGGGTCGACTCCAAAAAGATAAAACAGGTTTTGGTAATGTAGTGTGCTGGGGATTCCCCATTATCAGTAAGTTGTAAATGTAACATTCAAACTCTACAAGTGATCAGGGCGTGATTTTGGGTCGGCCCTGCACGTGACAAATCGTTCTGTAGATATTTGTTGGCCCGATTGTATTACTTTTGGGCGCGGGTTGTTATACATGTACTTTTCTTGTACACTCTCGAGTGGGATGTTGACTTGGCTATACGGACAGCAGTATGGCTGCGCTTGGGGCGACTTCAGCGAAGTTAGCCAGGAATAAAGATTGGGCAAATCCTACATCACTGTCAGTGTGTGAGGCTCCAATTGATATTCCCGGGCCGTCGCCGTCTCTTTCTGGCCGTTCTCTCCTCTTATTTTTCCTGACTCGATTCAGCATCCAATTCCTCTGACAGTGGCAGAAGGACCGCCACCCCGGAGCGATCGGCCGGGGGCTGGACCGTTACGATAAGGGTAAGAGGAGGCTTTCTTACAACAATGCTGATGAGCATGGGAAATTGAGAAGAGAGAGAGATCTGAACCTGCATCTTATTGGAGAATTGTACGGTGCTCTGAAAAGGACCTCCTTTATTTTATGTCAGTTGACAATTTTTCAAAGGATCTCGGCCTTTGTTCCGGGTAAAGTACTTGCATGAATAATGTGTTTTTCAGAATAATATACAACGTACTCATTTTGGGTCGGCAAACCACCGTGGCGACATGAGAGCTGTTACACTGCTGATATTCGGTGCAAATAAACGGACAGTCCACCAGGCGATTCTCCGTGCCTTTACAGGCGACTTGGTTCATGACGATCGGGAGGTCAGTCTCTGCCGAGCTCGCCCCAGCTTGAACTGCCTCTAGGAACGGGTGGTGTTGGCGGCAGGCGATATGGGCGTCGGTTAGATCCCAGCCGTTGGAACAGACTGCACCCCAGGAGAGTGTAGCCTCGTGGTAGATCTCCACACGGTCGCTGAGGGCGTCATCACCGCCGATTAACATAATAGTTCCATCCGAGACTGTAGAAATAACAATAGTCACACTTTATCATTTGGGAAACTGTTGTCAGCTTTTACAATATCTTAAGGAGTAAACACTTAGTTGGCATCTTAGTACCCTAAATTGAATATCTGTTTTCAATTTCAATAGGAAAGCAACTGTGCATGAGCATTAAGCGTTTCATCTGGTCTAGATTTGAACCTCAGTGCATTGAATTAATGCATTAGAAGTATTAAGCAAGTACTGGATTTCGCCAACACCAGTGACAGAACTGGGGGTGAATTAAAGTCTACTATGACCACCCCCCCCATTAAAAAAAATGACACAAAAAAAAAGAATTTTCAAATACCGACTTTATCCTCGCCTCTCAGAAAGGCCAGGAAAAGGTCAAAAATAAAAAAAATTTGGCCTTTTCAAATCTGACTTGGGTCACAGTAATTTGACCAATTTGTATGACTTCAAGGGCGGACAATATTTAAAAAGAAGAGTTAAGAAAAGAAAAGTTAAAATTTTTCAAAGAGTGTTTTTATCTGCGGTCAAACTGCTAAAAAAAATTTCATAACAGTGTGCATGTTTTACCTCTACACCCCAGCACTTCGAGCCTGACTCTGTAAACTGAAGTTGTCCAGGCCTGAGGCAATAAACGAAGATACCTTGCCATCAGAACCACGGGGAACGTCACATTTGTTGATTGTCCAGTGCTTACGCCAAACTGAAACCAATCCATAGTGATAACACTCATCGCTTTATCAACAGTATTCAAATGGTAACACTAAAAAACGTGTGCACCGTTTGTGGATTAGCCTTTGCACACTGTGTCTCATGCGGAAATACAGAAAAGTTAATCAGGACACATGTCATATTTATGGGACAAATGACGATTTCGATTAATTGCCTCAAAGCATCGTCGTGATACGGAAGCGTATAAGGCAGTTTCCCGCTCCAAGAACTTAACTCTCTGCTGCGAAATGGCAACCAGTCCCAATTGAGAGAGAAAACTAAAACCAGAAAGAGACTAAATATTTCGTCAACGAAAGACAGAGATTAGAGATTCAAGTTTACATAATGGTATTTAAGTTTTCATTTATTTAACTGAATTTTCTATGGCTAATACCTCTTGCGTTGTAGGGGGCCTATGTGTTTTGTAATTTTCCTTCCCTGTTCCTTTTTTGGACTATTTTCTTAAGGAAGCGTATAAGGCACTTTTTTATGGTACCCCGCCCCCGTTCAACTTTCCCGCTCAGAGATGTTATCTCTCTGCTGCGAAATGGCTTTTGAAATTAAATGCCCGCTGCCTTATCATTCCTCACCATAGAATTACATCAAAGTACGGGCGATTCACAATAGTGCGCCTCCAATAGTTTTGCAACGCGTTATTAAACTAATCACAGAGCACGAAATCTGTCGACCCTTTCTAGATGCGCAACGGGCCGACAGATTTGCGCACTGCGATTGGTCAACGCGTTGCAAACTCTTGGAGGCAAACTATTGGGGAACGCCCGTATTTAAGAGATGTAATACGATACGTTGTTACTTTTAGACATTTAAAGAACTGAATTAAACGCATCAATGGAGTAAATGCCTAGGCTCTGTGTCTACACGATGTCTGCATCTGGATTGATGGACACAGATGTGCTGCAGCAATCGTCGACTGTTCACTGTGCTTTAGGCCAGTTCTGAAGTACTCACCCTAATGTCTCCGTCTGCATCAAGTACTCCGTGCCAATCTGAATCGCCACTCGCGCTGTACTGCACAGTAAATGCAGTAACGTACCGATTTAAACCGCGGCCATCTCCCTGAATCACCACCCCTGTGACTGCTACATGTCTACTAAGATCAATCTGGATCCACTGGTCAGCTGGAGCGCTTGGTATCCATCCCTCGTTGCCTATTGGACAAAATAACGAATTTAAGGAGACAGTTGCTTGTTTTCTTATCCAACCATACCTGCTACGGACCTAGCATCTTGAAGCCTTTCTAATTCCCCTAGAAACACCCGTACAGATCTTTCGCATGAATACAATACTCTTATCCTCTTATCCGAAGTGAGTGCTGCTTCATATCTGATTATTCAAACATTCACTGATATTTTTGCTTTGCCATTGTTCCTATTCTCAGTTTGTTGTCATCGTTTCCACCTGTGAAAAAAATGCAATGGCTGTTGCAGGATTCTAACTCTGGACCTACTGGTAAGTAATACAGACGTCTTTAAGAATTTTGAACATCAAAATAGACAATGTTAATCATGCATGACAACGAATCAAACTGAGATCGCTTTTCACCCTTAATTTTCACCTCTCATGTAAGCACATCCCCTCGATTATTAAACTTAATCCAATTACAAGTCGTTGGTAAGCCATGAATTTGACGGCTACCATTGCACAATAATTACCTGTTATGGTGGCTTATATAAGGGGGGCTTGAGCAAACATTCCTGCAAGGTAGGTGTCCATGAAATTTCTGGGTCTCGGTTAACCTTATTCAAATGCAAAATAATAATAAAAAACAAGACTTCTGCGTTTCATTTTTTGCCCCCTTTTGTCGCTGCTTGTCACGCCCAACTACATTGTGAAGTGTATCAAGAGCAAAAATTTACCTCGATCAGTCCGTTGTGTAGGAAGATGAGTTATAATAAACCACGAAACTTTCCCAGGGAACTTGAAAGTTGAATGGTTGGATTGTCAAAATGAGTAAAGAAAGTCAGAGTAAATCTATGATTGTGGGCTTTCGTCTTACCAGCATTAAGCCGAGCGATGCGTGGAGGAAACCTACTGTCGTAAAAAGAGGACGCCGTTATTCTGCTGTCCTCAATGGCTCCGCTTTCCATTCCCAGCGGACCACTTACGCAAGGCACTAACATGAAGAAAATAATTAACAAATAATGTTATTAAAAAACCCCGAATTTAAAAAAAGTAAGAATCACAAGACAAAATGATCATTTAAATAGGCCTACTGGCTGTAGCCAAAACAACCGACCAATATACTGACCAACCGACTGAAAGACTGACTGACTATCCTATCAACCAGAAAAAAGTCTGACTGATGGACATTCAAACCAATTGGCCGATCGTCTTGCGTAACGGCAGTGACCAAAGCAATAGCTCGCCAAGACACCAACGGATAAACGTGGAACACTCACTAACAAATGACTCACTCGTTGGCTTATGGACAAGCTGACTGACAGAGCAGTCAACCATCCACAAACAGACTGGCTTTCTGATATATTCAATCGACAACCAGTTCACCAACGCACTTGTGTCGCCACATTGACTGGATGACAGATTGAATAGGTAGTCCATTGAATAACCAACTGTTTAACACACTAATGGACTGAGCAACCAACCATCAACACGTCTGAGTGCTCGGAAGAAACTACTCAATGACCAAATCATCCACCGACGGGCCTCCCCTGTCAGATGATTTATTGTGTGCGTTCGATCAATTCACAGGGCAACCATGAAATTGAGATGGGCATGTGTCCTTCGCCCAAACAAGCTAGATAGTGGTTTAAACCTGAGTCAACGCAAGCCTTTGACTCTATGAGCCCCAAGCAGGGCCAGCATGCAGAGGGCGCAATTGGCAGGAATTGTACGAGCGACTATGAATAAATTAACGCTCCCCACCCTCATTGCTCTTTTCGACGGAAGATAGGGTGATGCCGCTATAGGTGAATTGACTGGAAAACCCAGTCACGGTAATGCCCAGTAATGAGAAGCCAAATGATTCACGGATGCAGAAAAATGTGAAACGATATCGTGATACAAATTTCTGCATCCTGACACCTGAAGGATGGAAAATTAAGCTACGATCACAGAATTTGGATAATGAGTTAAAAGTGAGTTTCCAAATAAACTTAAGACTATACAAGCAGCCGTTTGCGAGGTGATATTTTGCCGAAAAGCTTCATGAAAACGGGTGCACCACTACGCGTACACAGTGCACGCCACTAATGGAAAGAGCATAACATTACGGTACCACCACTGCACATGCACATTTTCAGGTATTGCATTTGTAAAACAAAACTAGCAAGGTTGTCCAATATGTATTCCTAATTGGACCTTTCACAGCGTCGGAACATTAAATCTCGCCTGTGGATGGTAAAATGCGGCACAGCATTGGTTTCTGAAGTGTGTTCCCGCCTATTAATAGTGAACTAACGTACTGAAACGGTAACGATATATGGCCGAAATACCAACCATTAACTCAATCATCAGCCACTTTAATTCCCAGGTGATCAACCAACCCATGCAATTTACCACTTGACCACCAAGACCACCGTTTGTCAATTGACTAACCATTCTGATTCAGTTACTAAGTAGATAGACCGGAATCCCTGTGGCCTGAAAACTTTCAAGTACCCGCGTAGCAAACCTTTTCGAGTAACTCATTGAAGTACAGTTTACTTATTTACTGACATTCAGATTCAAACAGCAGACCACAAGGACTGATTTCAAATTGGTCAGAAACCCTTACATTTTTTCTTTCATTTGATTTCTACTTTAAACAATGCTATTACCGGACGATCTTCTGACTTGCCCCGGTCCAGTGTCGATTGGATGAGAAAAACATGTTCCTAAAATCAATCAGAAAAGGGTGCGACTTAACACATTTTACAAACGTTCCTCTGTGTCTTGAATATTGGTGTAATCGATAGATACTATTTTGTTTCTTCAAAATATTGAAGAATATTCAAGAATATTGAATTTTACACTTGTAAGCTAGACCAGTTTTAGCTTGTGCACCGTAGCAGTGGCTCTCTGTTGTGTGGCAAGTGGGGCGCTTTTCATGCCATGCTTACAAGACTAGTGTAGCGAACGTAGTCCTGCTCCGATCCTATGATACCAACCTGCTTATAGCATGGCGTGTTTGGAGTGCAAGCCCTACTTATAAGTAGCGGTGGGTAGTCGGATCGGGTGCCCTGTCACATCTGACATATGATTTTGTAATTTTCTAATTTCCAAGAGTGATAAAAATTAAAGCAAAATACCTGCTAGTTGAAAGTTGAAAGTGAGTAGAAATAAAATGATCGATCTGTCTCCCCTGACAATTTTTCATACCATTTCACTCATAAACACGAATTATTTTGAGTGTTATTGCATGCATTATATTATGTTATGTGAAGCTACATTAACGGATTTGAAAATATTGCAAGCAAAACCTGTGTATTCAATGGAAGTATTGGAAACATACCAATTAGTACTATGACCGCCAACGCTGTTAGAATGTAGGGAGGTGCCGTCATACTGGAAATGAACGCGGTGTCTGACTGAGTGCAACGTTTACACGAAGGTCACTGCAGCTTGTAAACCCAACCAATCTGGGAAACTGACGTAGGCACTGAAGTCGAGAACCGTCGCTTACGGCTTTAAATACTTTTCGAGTATTGTGCCAGGTATGTTAGCGTCGGATCACGTGTTTGTACAGTGAGGAAGGTGCTTTATATTACAAGAGACGAAAATGCAGTGATTTAAACATTAACACACAATACCAGACAAGGCTGAGTATCATTTACACAGCACGAGGAAATTTGTTTACCATTCAAGGAAATGAGAAGAATAGTCCACAATTCGAATAGGAAATAATTAGCTGTGGTAGACCTTAAGTTGAAGGAGACAAGAGAAAAAGACATAAACATGATCAGATGATCTTCCTATCATTAGGTCATGCGGATGCCCAAAGAATGGGTAGGTTGATCTGATGATCTCTCTACCGTCAGGTAATGTGAATTTCAAACAATGTCTATCTTTATTTAGGCCTACATTACCTGGAAACGGAAGGGGAAATACGTACAGGTGATCTAATAAACTTCCTGCAACCAGGTCCTGGGGATAAAAAAGAATGGTTACGTTGCTTGATACCCCAAGCAAAAAGAACAAGAAACGCGCTCACTTGAGCTGATGATATATATCCCTACTATGACCTGATATCATCAAATCATGTAATCATATATAAGGAGTATAAGAATGTTGATTCATATCACGAGGAAATGTCAGCAGAGTACATCCCCTTCGATTCCACTGTCAAATCAGGTGCCTGGGACCAGTTTCTTTTGGAGAAGGTATTGATCAATTGTTCATTGTTCGCCCTTTACCGTGACCTCTACATGGTTCAACAGTAGGCCTATTTGGGACGGTTGACATCTATGATATGCTTAACATCAGCATACAACGTTTCTTCTTGAAGGGCTGTTAAACCACCTTACGCGTTCAAAACAGTTTGTATTTAAGTTTAACCTAGTTTTTTAAAGAGAAGCACACAGCATCAAAGAGCAATCCTCAACTCGTACTTCTACTTTGTACTCCAGAAAGACTTCACACCTTGCATTAAGAGCAAGCCGCAACGCAAGCTTCTCTCCCTCCAGCGTTCAAGGAACGTCTCCCAGTCCGTTCGCAGACAGTTCAGTCAGTCCAGCTCCAAATGCCCAAAGATCTTCGGTCAACCCGGGGTCCACGAGAAGGATACTCCTTTACGTCCTGTCGTCTCTTGCACCTACTACACAGCAAGACATCTCGCCAAGATGCTCCATCCGTCGGGTGGGTAACACCAAGCACCACATCAAGAAAGTCTGACCAGTTCACCAACCCTATCCAAGGCCTCACTCTCCAGCCAGATGCCATTATGGTCAGCTTTGATGTTGTCTCTTTAACATTGGTTAAAGAGATAACATCAAACCCTGCCTCTGATGCTACTTTCATCACCGTGGACAAATTTCAAGTAAATCCGCCCATCCCGGCTGTGAGACGTTCCGAGAAAACATTCTTTTTATACGGTTACCATGTTTAGTGCTGTTGCTATTCATTACAACCATGGGCAAGTTCAAACTAACATTTTGTCAGCCACTGGTTGTTATCTCCACTCATTAAAGGCATTCCAGTGTGAGATTACATCCGTACAACGTAAATATTTGGGTTGACCTCTTGTGGCGAAAATTCTTGCTGGGTATTAGGGTTAAGGAGTCGTAGGGGATGGCTTTCCTGACCATGGAAGTTTGAAAAGCTTCGGGGGGATGCTGACACCATGTGACACTACATTGGGGGCGATGTAAATGCCCCTGTTCACCTGGGATTGACGCCCATAGAGGGATTTCACATTAGCTCCATCTGCGCATATCTGCATCGAACCGAGGCTCGCTGTGTTGAACTTTGTCGCGCGCGCCCGCGGAGTCGACACAGTACATGCAGTATCCGGTTCGTAAGTGTGGCGCCACTTCAGTTTAAACCACGCCCACTACACAAGATACACGACCATCGCAGGTACGTTAGTTCGCGGTAAATTGCCGTTATTTTTTCGTTTGATTTTACGTGTTTAGTCATCCTGAAAGACTCTTCCTCAAAAAGTCGAAGCCTGGAAAGTCTTAATTTAACACACCTTTAGGTATTTTGTGTCTTGACTCCTTACTTTCCATCGTCTTATCGTATTAAGAATTGAAGCTAACACATACAGCCTCGTTTTCAAACGCGAAAATGCGCAGATCGACGCTAAGAGCGTCGTATTGGGATCCCTCTATACTGACCTGCTATTCCAGACATCAAAAAAACAAGGATGACGTTGCTTGCACACTAGGCTTGCACACAGTGCGAAACGAGAATGCCACATAACCAAAGTACCTTGAAATTTGTCATCGGGGGTATCAAAGCTTTCCAAGTGGATAGAGAGGGGAGTAACCTTAACATAAAAACTGCTCGACTTCAGGTTCTTTTCAATAACATGCACATTTTAACATTTAAAATTATGTATTGATAACCTCAGGGTATTGGGTTTTTATGAAAATAGAAATTTAATTCCATTCAACCTTGCTGAATGGGGCAGCATTTTCCCCCTTATTTAAAAAAGAAGACAATACAGAGACAGACACAAAAGAAAAACAAATTACCAGATAAATTATGTGAATATGATTCATAGGTAGATCTGGATCCTCGGAAGGATATACTGCGTTACAAATTCGTTTGTGATAAATTTTTTTTCGAAGTCATTAATCTTACAGACTTTAAAGTGAAATACGTTTGAAGAGTCAACGAGGGAATTAATGTGTGTTTAGGCAGTCCAAGAGAATCTGCTCTCTACATATATCTTCCTTGAGGGAAGTGCACCCTCATCGGCAAAGGAGAGACAGACTTGTGTGAAAAAATTCAATGTGTACTAAGGCCGTCACGTGTCCTGTAACATTATGCACAAGCATGTACACACGAGGTCGGTTCCCACCAAAGGACCGCCGTTGCTATGTAAAATGCCTTATAAAAGCGAATACGAAAAGGTTCTGGGCAAATCAATCTATAAAGGGTCTATATCATATTGTTTTTGTGTTCGTGTCGAATAGAAATAAAGCAAACAAAACACGGTGCGTCTGATAGTCACGATAGTCACTTAAACAATGTACCAATGCTCACACACCTACGCAAAGTTTTGGCACAGTTCATAATTGCAGGCATGGTTACTGTCAATGCCAATTGCTCCCTCAACCGGAGCTCCAGAGATCGACCTACCCTTCTTCATTTTCCCACTTATACACGGAGAGCAACCTGATCCTCAGGAATAAGGGGGTACAATCACTAAGATGCTGCGTTGGTGAGCAGCAATCTCGGTCAAACGCTCCCTGAAAACACCTTGAATTTTGGGATAAAGGCCAGCCTTACCACTTTGTTAAAAAGACAGACTTTCAATAAATTGTTTAATGACTGCCTACAGTGGAAGCAGTGTTTGAATTCAGTGGGGCATCCGGGGAGGGGGAGTTGCCCGAGGAGCGATACAGGGAACACCAACCAAGAGAGAAAGCCCTATGACGTGAAGCGATCTCATGTAAACCAATATGTAGTTAAACATTCGGTGACTGGACTAGGCGCCCCACATGTCCCCTCATCAGTCTCAAGCGTAACGGCATCAACAACTTGTTTCAATCATAAGGTAAAAGCATTATTCCCGGCTTTCGTGATCATTCTAGCTTGTCCTGTCTATGCTATCTCAGTGCTCATTACTTTTGCATTATTTCACCTTACACTTGAAACTGATCAGAAACACTGAACAAACACAATATGGGCAGAGCGCGAACACCAGTCTCCTATCGATGTTCATGATGCCGCTCCAATTACATCAACCAAAAAATCTGGGATGATGGTGCCACTTCGCCAATTTCTGCTACCAAGGCTGCTTATATCATTCCTCTTTCCCTGCCACCAACGGAAAGGGCGGTATTCCCTCTCCTCTCCTTACCGAAAATGATGATACAACTCTTCCTCAAACCAAAAATGGAAACGATGGTACATACATCTACATCTAATGGAAGTGTTGACAGGATAGGGTAGGGAAACACTCACTGTTAGCAGCCTTAAAGTGAAGGAGATGAGTTCAATGTTTTTTTATGCCTTATGTCGATTTCTCAGAGAGGAAGGCTCGTGTGCCCTCTCTCCCCCACCCTTGCGTTTGTTGTACTCAACGGGTTTTAAAGGCCACACATCCTACAACCCCTCGTTCCTTAACTGTATCAGTGCAACCGGTCAGAGACATAGGTGCATCTTCATTTTTGTGTTTAGAGAGTCAACTCTGTCATTTTCTCCCCAGAACTGTGCAGAAGCAGCATCACTGTCCTCTCAAGAAGGTACTGGGAGGGCATTCATTTTAAGTGGGTGGGGGGAAACGAGGGGCGGTGTCCTCGGGTTCAGTCGCATGGGGAAGGCTTGTTGGTACCATCATCCTTGATGGAGGACTAGGAAGTTATGATACAGCAGTATTATCTTCCAAAGGAGGAACTTTGGAGGTAATACGATAAGCTCATTCCGTATGTAGGGAGAGCGGAGTGATATCGTCATGTAAGATGATGGCATCGACCCCTGAAGGCCGAGAGGAGAGGCTGATTGGTATCATCAACCTCAGCTGGAGGAACAGGAAAGGAAGTAACATCATTAAGGAGGCGGTTTGCGGGTAAAGGAGTTTGCTTCATCCACCTCAGCAGTTGGGACAGGTGAGGTAATACTCTCAGCCCTGGCAGGAGAAGGGGAGAAGCTCGGCGGGGGTGTCGTCGACCTCAGCCACAGAAACGGGAGAGTGTCATCAGTGCCATCGTTTCCATTTTTGGTTTGAGGAAGAGTTGTATCATCATCCTCAGCAGGGACAGGAGAGGGACTACCGCCATTATTGGTGTCTGAGAAAGTGTAATGGATTCAGTAGCATTTGTAGCAGAAATGGGGTGAAGTGGTACCATCATCCCTGAGTTTTGTATTGATGTAATGGGAGCGGCATCATGAACATCGAAAGGAAACTTGTGTTGGCGCTCTGCCCCATATGGTGTTTGTTCGGTGTTTCTGATCAGTTTGAAGGAAAAAGTGAAATAATGGAAAAATAATGAGCACTGAGATAAGAACAGAGAAGACCAGGTAGAATGATCACGAAAGCGAAGAGTAGTGTTCTTAACTTATTATTGAAAGAAGTTGATGATGCCGTTACGTTTGAGACTGATGAGAGGACATGGACGCCTAGTCCACTCATCGAATATTAAACTGCATAATTGGTTTGGATAATATTGATACATGTCACAGGGATTTCTTGTCCGTTGATGTTCCTAGCATTGCTCCTCGGGCTCAATATCTTGCCTCAGTTTATAGTAGAAGCAGTCAATTATGAATATTCAGTCAAATTTATCAGTCTGAAGGTACACGACGCACAGCCCAGTCACTGAATGTTTAACTGCATATTGGTTTACATGAGGTCGACTCCGTTACAGGGACGTCTCTCTTAGTTGGTGTTCCAAGCATCGCTTCACGAGCAACTTTCCCCTTGCGGATTGCTTTATTTTTATGTTTAATTATATTTCGTTAGGGAGCAGGAAAGAGAGTAATAAGTAATAATTTTTCAAATATTAGCACCAAAACCCTAGGAAAGCAACACCAGGAAATAAAAGCAGGGTGTTGAGACCGTGTTTAATGCTTTAATTTGTTGTCACCCCAATATCATGTTACTAAGCCCGAAGCAGCATTCAACTCCAAGTGCCTAAGGATCCTCAAGAAGGATACTTCACTACGTCACATCGTCGCTTCCAGAGGAGGCCCTATACTTACGACACAGCCACACATCTCGCCAAGATATTTCATCCTTCGGTGGACAATATCGAACATCACATTGAGAACTCCACCCAGTTTGCCAACCTCATCCAAGGCCTCACTCTGCAGCTGGACGACTCCATGGTCAACTTTGATCTTATCTCCTTCTTCAACAGTGCACCTACCTCTGACGCCACTACTTTACTGTGGACAGACTCCTAGCAGGTCCCACCCTCAACGACCGTACCGATCTCCACCCAAACCAGTTTCATTACCTACTCCTCATCTTAACTCATCTAGCTTCCGCTGGCTGGATAAGGTCTAGGAACAATCGGCCATCGCCACAGCAGACCACAGACCAAAGGTTAGACTCCAGTGTGTGAACAACACCTTTGCCGTTTGGTAGACTACCTACAACTCTTCCTTAACATCTCAAGAGGCTTCACAGCAGCATCCACTTCACCCTGGAAGAAAAAAGGGATGGGAACATCTCATTCCTCGACGTCAAAGTGTCCAGAAAGCAGGACGGCAGGCTTTAAATACCCGCAGTGTCTACCAAAAACCCACCCGTATCCCATAACCGCACCTCGCCCAAAAGAGATTGATTCCATGGTGTACCCGCAAACCCATTTCTCACAACTCAGTTTATAAGATTTTATTCAAATTTAACCCGAAAAACAAAACTATAATCAAAACCTAATGAAAACAAAACCATTAATAGACACCCAAGCTAAAAACCAAATTAAAAATTGCACGTACCGTCCTAAGGACGGCCAGAGCACACTGGCCGAAACGTCGAGTTAACACTCACCAGTTCTTTCAAGAGCCACACCTCGTCCAAAAGAGACTAATTCCATGGTGTACTCCCAAACCCATTTCTCACAACTCACTAAACCAGATTTTATTCAAATTTACCCCGAAAAAGGCTTATTTGAAGAAAGCAGATGGTTATGTGTACAAATAAGTACAGCAACATTTTTCAAGCTGACTGGACCAAAATGAAATAAGAAATAGATAATTAAGGCAAAAAAGTATAAAACCTGGCACTTCCAAAGTTTCTTTATTGACATTTAAATAAAAAGATAAACATTGTGTTTCATTTTTATGGTTGCGCTTGCTAGATGGAAACACAATAATCTTTTTGGTTTAATACAAAATAATTGCAGCTTTGACAAACAAAACTATAATCAAAACCTAATGAAAACGAAAACCATTAACAGACACCCAAGCAAAAAAAAAAAAAAAAATAAAGTTAAAATTGCACATACTTTAGGGAGCTCTATATTCTAAGCTTGATTTTTTTCTCCATAGAAGTTTACAGTTATTCTCAAGCTTGATTGGGGCCTTTCCAGGAATAGGTTGCATGCAATTAAGGAGCTACATGCACTTGTACAAAGCTCCCCCGCCTGACCAGGAGGCGCGTGATTGTGACAGTCACGATCACGAGGCCCAGCTCTGACGGGCACGTGATTTCCTTTAGCACACAGTCTGTCCAGGATCACGCCACTGAATCAGTTATTGCTGTCATTGAACATTGACAGCTTACTGCATCTTTTTCATATTCGCCTCTGGGGCCCTGACACTGAATGATTTCAGTCAATACTGGGTGAGAATACAAATATGGTACTGGTGATTCTAAGATGTATTTTTTTGACCAGGAAGAAAATAAAATGAACTGCACAGAAAATTGTTCATCTATTTTCCCCAATGAAAGCATTCATTTTCTGTTCTTGTTTGGTGGAAGTCACCTTCATTGTTTAATTTAACATTGTCTGTCCCGTGCTATGCTGTGGAATGGGTGGGGTGAATTTCTACCAAATTAATTTTAAGTTCTGAATATGCTAAACTGATGTTCTGCCGATATATTAAGACCTTCCATAAAGTAAAAAAAAATACCTAAAACATGTCCAAACCTTATATAATTTATTCGCATGTACATGCAAGAATAAATTACAATTCTCAAACAGTGTTTAGTCACGCCCAGTCAGCATTCTTGGTTGTTCAGGTTTTCAGTTCTTATCCGGCGTCTTATCCGGCGTAGTTTTTCTCTGGGTTTTCCGTAAAGTACCAAAAAGGACAATTTTCTCAACCAATTTAACAATTAGTTCTGCCTACTCTACTCTTCTTCAAAATTCAAACTTTTGAAATTTATGTACGCAATCAGACACTACATATGTTCTCAGTGTGGTGTGTTTTTTTGTACATGTAAATGTACATGTGTGTTCATGTAAGGGCAGGTGAAATATAAAATTAATATCTCCTATGCAAAGATAGATAAAACCACTAACTAGTTGCAGAACGTGCTGCTCGATTCACTTGATTCAAGCAATCCGCACGATCCCAGCAAACTTCAACAGTCGAATGGCTGAGACGTTTCCACCGGTGAGAGGTACGGCACGTTGTTGGCTCAAATCCCACCCAAGCAGGCTTGTGATGTTTCGCTTGAACTCCTGGTCCACACTGAGAAATTTAAAACAGTGTGAATATTTGTAAATATAGACTTAATACCAGTGTATATGCCAGGGCTCCAGACAGATATGTCCAGTTGCTGATGTCATCCAGACATCTCTTCCTCTGCCCTCCTTTACACTGTTTCTCTTCAACTTCATCCCTCCCTGATCAGTGGCAGGAGCTTCAACTTCAATTCGTTATAAAACTCGTAACGAAGCCTGGGCTGATGCTGAACAGGAAACAACCTGTCAGGATGTTGGACCCTTGTTATCAGTTCAAAGATTGCTTCATAAGTACTTGGCACAGACCGAAATCTGGAACACATCAATCACAGTGAATAAATAAGGCGTCCTCTCTTGAAACCGCCTCCGCAGACTCAATGGTCTTCCTTCGCACACCGAGCCGTTTTAATGGATGGACAGTGACACTGATTTGCATACACCAACTGAAGGGCTCAAGGGATAAATACCGTGGTATCTGGTGTGTGTTGCACACTACTGTGAAGGTACACGGTGGTGCAGGATCAAGTTTGGAAACCTCCCCTACGGGGTTCTGCTGTCCGACAAGATATTACTTTCTTACTAGTGAGCACACTTACCAGATGTTAAGTGTATTTGCCGGGGATGAAGAAGCATTTATCAGAGAAGACTGGATGTGTATTCAATTAAAACACCATCTGAAGACCTGCAGCACGTCCATAGCAGGAAACACACGCAGGTCTAAGGAGTTGAGCTGTGTGTGAGGTACATGAAGTCCATAATTTTGTGAGGGACTGTACTGTTTGACATTGTGGCTGTCTGGGCAGGACATCCCAAGACATTGTGTTAACAACAACAAAAACCCAACAACAATAAAAGAATCTTGAGGGTGTGCTGGAGTCCTGACTGAATATGGAGAACAAAAGGCTATGGGAATTGAACACAACGCTTAATGCCACCCAGGGGGATGTCAGTCACACAAACTGGCTGACGCCCTTTGGCGTGTTCGTAGCCATCGCAATGACGCTCACCGTCCTGCTGAATCTGCTGCTGAACCCATTGATGTTCATCACCTTGCGGCGGGCCGCGGGCACCAGGTGCAGTACCAAGATCATCCTGGGCTCGCTAACCCTCAGCGACCTCCTCGCCGCACTGTGCCAGGCCTTGACACTGCCCGAGCTGTACATCGGAGCCTGGATGCTGGGGGGATTCCTCTGTGTGACAGTCAAACTGCTGCTGATCACTTCTTATTTCATGGGCATCATGTCTCTCCTGCTCCTGACGATTGACCGCTTTATTGCCGTTGCCTTTCCCCTGCGGTATCCTCAGCTGATGACCACGCGGAAAGCAAAGACTGCCGTCTGCATCACCTGGGCTACCTCCAGCATACTGGTCATTCTCTTGTACGGGGTTTACAATCACAGTGTGGTCAGTCCCCAGCATCCCAAGATATGCCAGCAGACACTAAATGACTGGAGAATGTATATTTCGGGTGTGCTTGTAACGCTAACACTAATTGTAATTATCGTGCTGTACACGCGAATTTCTTTCATTGCACACCGTCATGCCCGCGACATTGCCATTGTAAACCGGGTCCGACAGGCCAAGAGGCAGCAATTCAACGCAAGAGCCACGGTCACCATCCTCATCATAACAAGTACTCTGGCCGTCACCTGGATACCGTCGATTGCCTTCTTCGTGTCATCGGAAAGCGAGTTTTGGGATTACGAGACCGCTGCACTCACTGACGTTCTTGCATTGTCTAACGGCTGGCTGAATGTTGTCATCTACTACCTACGGAATCCATTTCTGCGTCAGGCGCTATGCGATCTGCTCTCTGCCAAGCCCAACTGTTTCTGTTTGTTCCAGAGCCCCTCGCCTCAATAACTGTTCACCTCATGATCTCTGCTGTTGCATAGCACTCTAGCCCCAAAATGACGCAAGACATTTTTGTGGGAATTTTCATTCAGTGTGTTTCAGTACTTCTTTATTGATTATCCATCTGCGTAATTCTGTCTGAATACAAATATACACAGAATAACAAAATCACCTCAGGTTACTTATATTCAGTGTGACTGGTCGGGAGGTCATGCAGTATTCAAATTCGCAAAGTGAAGTTAAATAGTTGAGAAACCACGGTTACCATGCATGTAAATATTCGACTTGACCCAAACTGCTTGTACATGTACAAGTTTGAAAAGTTGGTGTGGTCGAGGAACTCCTCATTTTCAAGCATAAGTGCAAAACAAAAAACTTGTTATCCCTTTTTAAATGATGGGATTTTATTTATTAAAAAAGGTCCCCAGAAATAAACAAATCGAGTCTACCATGACCTACATGTACAGGCCTTGCTGATATCTGGATCTGGCTCACCTATGATGTATTTCAAACTCAAGGTGTACAATCTAGATGTCTTTATAAAAGCCAAACCGCACAAGCACGTTTTAATGCCAACCCCCTTTTTCAAAATGTGGTTTTCGTACAACAACCGCGTATCCAGCTTTGGATTCAAAAGCAAATGTGGCTTCGGGCTCAATGTGCTCGAGGACAAAATCAAGGCTTTACTGTGTTGTTTTTTAAGGTTTTTGGTGCTAATATTTGATAAATAGATATACCGATTTCTTTCTTTCCCACTCACCTGTGAAGTAAAGTATTCAAATGGGTCACTTGGGAGACATTCCCATAAGAACGTGCACAAACTTTACTGTCCCATAACTCAATATTCCCTAATCTGATCGTAACCAAACTTTGCATGTTTTCCTTTCAAACCCTAATCTATCATCTCTCAAAATGTGGACGGTAAAAATTTTTCCTCCTTTTGGTAGTTGGAACATTAGGGGGACATTGAAATGTCTCCCTAATGACCAATGTCTTCCTAATGATGAAAACTTTACTACAAAACGTCTCCCAAGTTACCTATTTGGAAATATTACAATAATAATTTTAATGATAATAATAAAATAAAACCTGTCGGGGATACTGTTGTACATCGATTTATTTAAAATGCATTAATTTTCGCGTGATGAATCGCTCGGTGTACATGCAATACGCACTACACAATGTACCTGTGTTGCTACCATATATAGTAGAGACAGTTTTCAGACTTTACTTTATACGATTTGTAATATGCATAGCTAACTTCAAAAGCCTTTGACAAATGTTTTGGTGATTTGCTCAGTGCAGCTGCAAGACAGAAGGTTTTCAGTGTACACGTGTAACAACCCCCACATTTTCACATAGAAAATAGCACCTTCTTTTTCTGCACATAGGGCCCTCGTTTGGGGGTTTCAATATATTCTATTTTGGGTGTTTTAATAGAAATCAGCATGTTTTGATTTTTCGCTGGCTGAAAACTTAAAAATCAGCAAAGCTCCGATTGAATGGGAATGGTTGACAGCAACCTTGACTCCATGGGCTGTGTGCATGTTCTTTCACTAGCCCCTGGTCGTGTGGAATGCGAAAATGATGAACTCTTCGTTGCTGTACATATCCTGTTGGAAGGAACAGCATCATGATCGTATGCAATCTCTGATGAGGACTTGAATCACCATAGCTGGATGTGCAGTGTGCTCAATGAATAAAAATCCTGGGAAAAAATAGAAGTAGGTTTCACATCCCATTCCAACATTTCATCTACCATACACGCTGCAATGGAGCATTTGAACCTGCATTTCTGCTCACCAAGTTCACTTATGTTTCATTAAACTTGGCTAACATTCCAATTACGTAGTCAGTATCAACAAAGTTAACAGCTTAGGACCTATATGTTTTCGATCAAATTTACATTATAAAATGTAAACAAGTATCTACTGTCTGTCTCTGTGTACATGTACAGCGCATATATTCATCTCTTGCTATGTTGTATGACTTTTGACATTTTATTGATCTTGCGTTGAAGCTCTATCTGCGCTGTGTTTAGAGAACAGAGTGAACAATAACGTTTATTGTTGCCGTATTTTATTGCTCCCAAAACATTGTCTCAAGAATTGTTAGGTGAAGTACTTGTGTATTTAAGTTCTTAAGTATGGATTCACAGGAATGATGAAATCTGGAGCATGTTTTTTTATTCTCGGGCTCATTCCTATCCTGAGATGCGCATGGGCTAGGCCGATATAATTTTGGTCTGTACTGAAGTTGGTGTTGGGTGAGTTATTGGCATGTGACAATATCTATTAGGGATTATTTTAGACTACACTACTTTATTTTATTTTATTTCAGTTGTAACATGCAACAAAGACTTGCTAATTTATTGTCACTGTTATATTTCCAGTTTTTTTCTTCTTGGGTTACCTGAGGTGCCAAAATAAAGAAGGAATCCGCCAAACTTCTATACTGGAAGTCCCCTTGCAGAGGTACATCACCTCAACCCCCCCCCCTGAGATCCGCCTAGTAGGACCATCGGTATAACAACACCTGTCAACCAACCCCATCACTACACACATACAAATTTCAAACCAAAGGCCTACCAAATCTCTTTCAAGCTTCAGGTCAGGCAAATTGACAGTAAATAGATGCACAATTATGGCAATTTACTATTTGAAAGTACAGACAGGAAAAACTAAACCCAACAACAACAGCAACAAAGTGGGGAACAAAGTCGTCCCCTATCGCTAGTCCAGTTTGTTATTGAAATCGAAAAAGAAAACATTTTCTTTTTCCCAAGATGGCTGCTTGTAGCTTTAACATTAAGAATTACCGACACTTGTTTTTAGTTCAAAATGACTGCCAGCCTTTGTTTTATAAGTATTCTACCGCCAATCAACAGAATCATTCCGTGTTGTAATTTATGCCCGTTGTGAATATTTCTTAATTCATATTCATGCGTGATTCCTGTTTAAGATGTAATTAGATTTATCTACGTATAAGTGATGAAGACTCGGAGATAATAATGCCACAACACAGCCAAGGCATTTGTTAACTCGTCCTCTACTGCCGAAGTTGAAATTTATTTACATATAGTGACTTCTCAGAGAAGTGGAGTGTGGACTCTTAGCAAAATTCAGATATGGGGAGTTGAGTACTGAAAAATTAACAAAGGATTTGGCTTCCAAAATGGTATGACTGATCGAGAATATACCAGACTCAGTTTTGTCGCGACTATTCAAAAACAAAACCGCATTTCCATTCTTTTCCTTCACATGGATCAAAAACTATTTCAGGCAAAGTATAACAGTTTTCATGCTAATACTCTGTAATGTATTACACATTTTTTAACACATGTAAACACACGATTAAAAGGATTGTTATTAGGGGAAATGATTTCAGCTATTGCAGAAAAACGTGAGCTGTTTATGAACAAATTGTAAATAAACATAAATACTTGGATGAGATTTGGATAGAATAATGATGCCAAAAACTCTGCTAAATGTAAATAATATATATCTGTTACAATATTGTGATTGTAAATCATAGTTATTGTTGAAAGGAAAAGACTAAGTTTACGCTTTTGCAGCGGGCATTTTGATTATGAATACATTTATTTTTAAGACGATAGTCAAAAAGTCCCGATTTGGGCCAACACAAGAAGGGTTGAAATAAAAAAAAGGTCAATGTACGAATGTACAGTGCCAAAACTAAGACTTGCAAAAAAAAACCACGATTTTTCAAGCTTGTAGCTTTTTTTCAGTTGAAAAAATGAATAAACAATGGCACTGATGTTCTGCGTTTGAAAACTCGATTATAAATTGAAAATCATATGTTTCTGGTGATGGAATTCAACAGCCAGCTCTAATACTTTTGTCTCTGGCCGTAAGGATTTAGAAAAAAGAAACGAGGAAAGGATCCATGCGTAAGGGAACGACAACTGCAACCAACAGCGCCCTGATTTCTGAAGGCAGCCAATCCTTAGTTAATTCCACAGGTGGTTACTTTCAGAAAATTTTCAACTCTTTATAGCAAATGATGTTGCTAGTCACTGTAGGCTAAAGGAGAAACTGGAATTTCGTTGCATGTTTTGGAAAAGTTTGTGTACGAACTTTACGAGCAGGAATGTTGGCCAATCTCAGCAGTTTCTGAGTAACATACATATAACCATGGTATTTCTATCATTCATCAAACTATACTGAAAAATATCACATCATTTTTCAACATCAATGTTGGCTTCAAATACTAAGTGCCCTCCATGTAACCGAAACCAGTGTTAAAATTACATTTTGACAAATATTTTAGCTCAAAATCGAAGCTCTGTATTCATTAATGATGATTACACTAAAATCCGCATTCTATTCAATCAATATTATAAACGTACAAAATGTTACTAAGTATGATATCAGAGACAGAAGCATGCCCTATAGATAGGCAAACTTCAAGGGGGTCGAACACTGAAGAGATGAACCAGTCTCTATCCTGAAATGATACAAACACAGAATACCAGGAAAATGAGAAGACAAAGAAAAAAGACGATAAGGCTGCAAAGGTAAAGTCTACGATGAAATTGTAAATGGAAAGGTGGAATGCTCACTGCCCTTGTAAGGACAGTAAGCATCTGATTTTTATTAGGAGGGGTGTAAAACTTGATCAGGGAGGGGTCTCAGGAAATGACTACTTGGCTGCGGCTTAAAATTAAACACCACGTACCTTATGGGTCATGTCTGCAGCCACTATTATAGACTCGTGTAACTGCAAGCCGTAGCAATGAAATTCGGACACGGGCTAATTATCTGTACAGTTGAGAGTACTAGGTGTTCCTTCAAAATGACCGTTTTGGTTCCAACCAAGATATCAATCAAAGCATTAGACATTGATGTGGGACATGGCACTTTCTTCATTTCGTCATAGATACATGACCTTCCCAGCGTAATCGTCGATTCAACGAGCTCGCCTTATCGAAACAGAACCAGTATTTGCTGCCACCAAGTGGCAGTAAGCCCCTTAATTGCTCTTACCACTTTCACAGATGACACCGGCATCTTGACTGTGGCTGCATTGGGGCTCCTCCCAGCACGAAGACGGGCAGTCACCGAAGCTGCCCTCTGTTCCAGTGCACGCCACACCGTCCATGTGGACAGGACCACTGCCCTGACCGAAGTAAGCACCGGACTTGGCCGCCTGCGCTCCGGAGAAGCCCAGAAAGCGACAGACCACAGCAGCGTCGTTGATGTCCCAGTCATTGTCACAAATGCTTCCCCAGGTGTTGTTACGGTACACCTCCACGCGGCCGCTGGAGTTATTGGAACCTCCCACCAAGCGAACAGTATCTGTAGAGGTTTAAATGAATGCAATGCTCTCATCACCAGCATAATAATTAGAAGAAATTTTGAGTGAAGCAGCTTGAAATCCCTTGGACCTGCAGTACATAATTTAGAGTAATCATGGCTTTAAAAATTGAGTACACTTTCTTTCGTTTGTCATGATCCTGAAGAAACGTGGTTTGAATCTGACATCAGAATTCCAGAAAGTTAATGCTGTCACCTAAGCCGTTTTTGTCTGAAGTGTGTTCACGGCTTTACACGAGAACATATTTATTTTACCATAGCTTAGCTAGACAGTGATGTTTCCTTCACCTGACACGTTATCACCTGCGAATACATATCAAAGGTAGAAACGGGGCATTATCCCCGGGGAAAGAGGTACATATTCGCCACTTTTTAATCGGCAGATTTGCTTTTGGATCATCCTCCACTTTTTGTGGTGATCAAAAAATGAGGTTGACAGTGAAGATTTGTTGGACTTCCAAGTAGCCAAAATGTATTAATTACCACTGGAAATGGGAGAAAACATCAATGTATAATCTGTGTTGATGAAACGCTCAGTGTTATTTCCCAAAGACGGATTTTTTTTTTATCATGAAAGGCGACGATGACACAAAGTGTCCTATGTTGTCTGGACCCCTCCATTTTTCGGTTTCCATGGTCGAGCGATTTTTGAATCACCTCTCCCTAAGTCCCTGGGAGATGTTCACGTCACGTTTTCAAACTCATATTTTTGGCAAAAGGAAAACTTATAGTGAGGTCTAATAATATATGGCATAATCATTACGAAGACCGAAATCACTGAAGGGAATAAATGAAACGACGAAAAAGTGTGAAAGATAAAAACGGAAAACAAAAATCATTTGTCTTGAGACAAGGATGACTTGGATCCAGAGAGGGGGTAAGAGGGGGCTGTTATATAAATGCTGCCGAAAGGAAAGAAAGGGGAGAGAAATCTTAACCTGCGTCCTATGGGAGTTTGGGTACCAATGCCCTAGTGAGATAAAGCGCCTTTGTTATATCGCATGACCCTCTTTTAAGGCTTTTTATTTTGGTCTTTGTTCCGGATATGGTTATATACAAGGAGAGGTAAAAGTCTTTATTTTTACAACGCACTCATTTTGGGTAGGCAAACCACCGTGGCGACACGCGAGCTGTTACACTGCTGATATTCGTTGCAAATGAACGGGCAGTCCACCAGGCGATTCTCTGTGCCTCTACAGGCGACTTGGTTCATGACGATCGGGAGGTCAGTCCCTGCCGAGCTCGCCCCAGCTTGAACTGCCTCCAGGAAACGGTGGTGTTGGCGGCAGGCGATATGGGCGTCGCTTAAATCCCAGCCGTTGGAACAGACGGCACCCCAGGTGGCTGTGGACTGGTGGTAGATTTCCACTCGGCCGCTGAGGGCGTCCTCACCGTCAACGAGCAAGAGCGATCCACCAGATACTGTACAATAAAATACATGAAACAGGCTGCACTTCATTAATAATAATCAAATGCACAATAATGGTCACACATCATCTTGAAAAGGTATTGAGAACATTACTTTTCTTTCTCGCAATTAAAAGCCGGTTGAATCTTCTAGAGGGCTGTTCAAACATCCTTTGATTTAATCACTACCGTTTCAGTATAATGCAACTAATGATGCGTTTTTTCAACGTATTAAAGCAAACGCTATTTGTCCCTCGGTTTTGTATTGATCGTGGACCTTTTGTTTTAAAAGCCTAAACCATGCGGTGACGGAGTTTGTCGAGATCATTCGCGGATCGGGGAGAAGGGATGGTCCATCCCCCGAAATGTTTTTGAAAACACAAGTATATTTGAGGAGAAGCCAATTAGGAGGAATTTCCACTTTCCTACCTGCCAAACGCTTGAGAGAAAAGACCTAAAAATTTACCGTCACATCACTTTTTTGTTTTTAAAGACTACCCCCCAAAAAATGTGGTCCTGGACCCACCTTTTTACAGCATCGATTGACTCGCTTGTGCGACTTCACTTGTAAACGATGTTTAAAAGAAATGTGTCCGTGGTTTATTCCTTAAAGAAGTATTATTTATTGTTTGTAGACTTAATACATGAATGATGAAATCAAAATCTTATTAAGTGTGTATTACCTATACACCCGAGCACTTCGAATCTCACATAGTAACCTCCTGAAGTCCAGGTCTGAGGCAATATGCGAAGATACCTTGCCATCAGTACCACGGGGAACGTCAGATTTGTTGGTCGTCCACTGCTTACACTAAACTGAAACCGATGCATAGTAATAACGCATACATGTAGTTCTTCATCAGCAGTATTCAAATAGCTACAGCTCTTCAACACTGGATCCGTCTTTTACGAATTTCCATTGGATGTTTTCTTCACTCAAATATCACTTGACAAAAACAGATTTCGATAGTCACAAAGTATCGTAATGTGACCATCACATTTAGATTTTCCAGGGTCAAGGTTTTCAAGTTAGCTCAAATTTTGTAACTATCTCCTTACTTTGCGACGTATGGCGCTGTGTAGACGGCACTTTCAGTTTCTGTCGAATACCTCTTCAAATAGAGCCCTTCTTAGTTAGGTAAAATTAGGGTCTAAAAGTTCCCCTCTCGGTACTTTGTCACTAGCAAATATTAAAAACACTGAATAAATGTCTAATTAAAATCACTTCTCTTTAGTCAGCTAAAACAAAAAGTTATTTCACGTCGAATTTGTCATAATCACATGTATCTCTTATTCCAAATGGCAAAATAAGGAGGGCCTGACGTTTCGATCTTAGTCGATTCTCTTTCAGAGGTAAAATGCCTTAAAGTTAGTAAAGTTTGAAAGGTTCAGCGTTGTCTTTGAGTCCACAAACACAAATGCCTCCCGTGACTGCGGTGTGAAAATGTGACCACGATACGACAAGGTCTCACAGTTGTTGATAATCACAAATTTATTTATTTTCAGAACAGCTCATAATCACCATCTTTAACAGTTATAAACTCACCCGAATAATGTCTCCGTCGGCATCAAGTAATCCTTGCCAATCTGAGCCGCCACTTACGCTGTACTGCACTGTGAATGTAGTCACGTAGTAGTTGGAGCCTGTGGAGTATCCCTGTATCACAACTCCAGTGATTGCAACATATTTACCGAGATCGACCTGAATCCATTGGTTGGCTGGAGTTGGTGGTAACCATCCAGCGGAGCCTGATGGAATATAATGACGAATTCATTCAGACAGTCATTTCTTATCAAACTACCCGTTTCGGACCCAGCATCTGAAGCCTTTCTAATGGCCAAGAAAACGCCAACCACAATGACCCCTAGCTAAGAATATCAGTCATAAACGACTGCAATTTATATTTACATATAGTTTCCCTTGCCTTCGTATATATTTGATGTTTTCCACCCATGTAAAACAATCAAAGGCTTTGCTGTCATAAAAACCCTTAACCTGCTGGTTAAAAGCGTCACATCTTCTATAATTTTGATTTCCAAAATATTTGATCGTATCTGGTCGACTGAAATCATTCATAATAAGGATCCTGACTGATATCAGTTCAAGGGTATCAGAACCAGTTACCTTCCTCTAAAAGTTTTCAATGACTGAGCATTTAAGAAAGGTCGGAAAATTCTTGTATGGTTTCAGAAATTTATTAGATTAAATTTACAATGTCACAATTCACAAAAAATAAGTTGAGAATAAAATTTCTTATTACGGATGATTGACTCTACCCACAAGTCCAAATGGGTACACCTTCAAATTCCTTCCTTAATCATGGTCTATCTGTTGAATTAAACAATACAACTTTCAGTAACTGTTGCGCGCTGAGCAGAGACGAAACCCTTTTTGGACTAAACGACCATTCAGTTGTGGAGGAATTTAAGTCAGGAAGAGTTTTCAGAGCAAAAATGCCTTAACCAATCGTCAGTGCGATCGCTGCTTCGGAAAAACCACCTCAATAAAGTCGGAGGATCTTTTTTTATTATTATTAAATATTTTACTGCTCTTACAACCCGCTCCCTCTTCATATAACTCCTCAATGGAATGCATTTCCAAAAGGAATTCGACAAATGAATGGTGGGGATTTCCAAGTGAGATACATAAAAGTGATCTACGACGGCGGGGCTGTGGTCTTACCAACATTAAGTCGAGCAGTGTGTGGGTAGTAAATGCTGTAGACAGAGGACGCGGTTATTCCGCTGTCCTCAATGGCTCCGCTTTCCATTCCCATTGGGCCGCTTACACAAGGCACTGTTGAACACGAAGAAAAACACGTGTTTTAAAATTGCATTTGAAAAAAGAAGAATTTAGGACCAGTGGCGAAGCTGAGATTTTACTAGTGGAGGGGGGCACAAGGGACACCAGCATCTTACAGGGAGGGGCACCAGCTTTCAGTGGTGTGGGTTTTGGGAGGCAAGACTTAGTTAACCTTGTTCAATATCCATTTATCGGTTTTGTAGGGGGGAGGGGGTACCTGGGAGGCACCCGGAATTCGTGGGGGCACGTGCCTCCCCCAATGGCTACGCCCCTGGTTAGGACAATAATGATAACAAATATGTATAGACTAATCCGATTAGATTCCATAACTGCGGTGGCACCGCATTCACACGCACATTCTTCAGCTTGACGCGCCCGTGCATATGGCAAATCAAGACACCCTATTGGTCGAAGAGGCATGTAACGCGCGCGTACCACCTGTCCACGAGCGTTGTGCATGCCACCACAGTAATGGCTTCTAATTCTGCTGGTCGAATTACACTATACAGTTTTTTCAAACAATTTACAGACTGGCTACAGCCAAAACCAACACTGTTACTACTGTACAACCAACTGTAAAACCGGCCGACAATCAAATTATCTATTCGACTGATCTTCATACCGACTGTCCGACCATCGAATACAGCAATACAGCCCCACAGTGTTCAATGTAATGGTCACCTAACAACCAGTCAGGGCGCCAAGAGACAAACCGCTAACAAATAACCAACTCACTGACTGACACAACAGAGCAACCGATCAACCATCCAATGCGTTATGGCTGACTGACTTCAGACATATCGAATGACTGATCATCAACCGAATACACCGACGAAATACCCCAAAGCGGCTCAGTGACAAACTTACCAAAAGACTCAGCAATTGACAAACCCATCGATCAGAGCACCAAACAAATTGACTAAACCCACCGTCAACCCGTCTGACTGACCACTGATCCATTGATGAAATAACTCAATTGCCGAATCATTCTCCGACTGGCTACAGTCGTTGATTAATCCATCATTTCAAGATCCTACCGACAAGCAATCATTAAGCTATAGTCACAAGCTTATTAATCAATGACCTATCGACAGACCCGGTCACCCTATGACGAACAATCTCTTCAACCCACTGACATTCTAACTGACATTCACTAATAATTGACTTGGGGGCTTAATGATGCAAAAAAAAAGACTGAGTGTCTGGCTTATAGCTCGACATCTACTCATAAATACACAAACAAACTGACCAACCAATTGTTGTTTTTAATGGATTAACTGACCGGCAAACCCGTTGGCGATCAAAACGACCATTAGCCTTTCTAGGAAAGATCTCCATTCTGAAAACTTTAAGTTTGATGTCAGAAAACGTACATTTTGGCATTTCATTTTTACCTATCAGAATAGCATTTAAAAAGACCTTTACCGGACGTTCTTGTTGTTGGCACAAGTGTATTGCTGACTGGATGAGCGAAGCACAGTCCTATGACAGAAGAGAGGAAATTAGGCCTGATGAAAAAAGGGATGACAGACGGTGTGCACTCTAACGCGTGAAATGACTACCTTTTTAAGTTCAGAATAATTTGGAGCACGTAAAAATGTAAGGACTTAAAAAGGACGACGTAGCCTGCCTTCGTCAAAGGTTACTTTTGACCATGGTTTTGAAATACTTTTACAAAATTCTGCATTCTCAATCAACTGAAAACCGAAGTTGGACTGCAGCGAATGAAATTCAGTAAAATCCAACAAAAGCAAACAACTTAGGCTGCGGTCGAGTGCCACCCTCAATACTCGTAAATGCATGTAAATGAAAGGCTCTTTCATCTACAAAGCTGGGGATTTATTCATCTTAACCTGTGAGTACGAGATCAAAGTGGTGCTTTTGAGATATACAGACTAATGTTCTAATGTCGAAAGTAAGAATTAGACGTCATGTGTATGAGTTGTCAGTCACACGGGTAACCTACGAGATCACACGTGCGACTTAAGATTGTAAGACCGATAGGATGGCGTTGTCAGTGAAAAGAAGACAAGGGGCTAACGCTAACATTACGCCCTGGTATCTCTTTTAACTGATGGTTGCTTTTCTAAAACTCACATGCTTCTACCATGAAGAAAAAATCGATTATCAAACGATAAAAGTAAATTTCGAGACACCTAGGAACGTCCATTAAAACACGAACTGATTCGGAATGAGGAAAACTCTTGACACTTTGGTATGCCAGACTGTGAAGGGAAACGGTGGCTTGTACCGTTAGGCTTTACTCGTGCACGCGTTGCTTTAAACAAATAATGAATGTATTACAATCTTGAACAGATTGAGCGTGTTATTCTACATGGAGAAGCCACAAGGATATAAAACGGTCAATTTGTCTCCTTTGGAAATTATTTAAACCACTGAACTATCTACCAATAAACATTCATTATTTTGTGCAATATTATATGCATGATGTGTCATGAGCAGGCACGCAAAGAGTTCTGAAAAGATGCAAGCCAAATCTACGTAATGAAGGGCAGTGACAAAAACATACCGGTAAGTACTGTGACCGCCAACGCTATAAGAATGGTGCAGTAGGACGGTGCCATCATGCTGGAAATGAGTGCACCGTCCGAATAAAACAGCTCTTGCAACGACGTTCAATGCAGTGTCTGAGCCCAAGCAGACCAACGTAAACACTGAAGTCGAAACCGTCGCCTACGGCTTTAAATACTCCAAGTAATGTGCCCGGCATAGTGTCATCTAATTATTCTGTGTGCCAGATACCTCACAATTAAAAGAAACGAAAACACAATGATATACAAATATAAACATGCATATGACAATACGAGGCGAGGCCAAGTATCATTTCCGGAGCTTGAGGAAGTTGCTGTGCCCATTGAGATCCTAGAAAGTACACACTTAACTTGGTATGATGATATGAGGGTGGGCTTTGTAGAGTCAGAAGGTTCGGTTCCAGGTAGATGCAACGAAATGACACTAAGATAATCTGACGATACTCTACCATGTGGTTGTAAAATGAGAGGGTACGCTGTTTTGTTTTACAGGAGATGGGAGAACAATATGTACGCATGATCTGATCACGTGGTTGTAAAATGAAGGCGTGCGCTGTTTTGTTTTACAGGAGATGGGAGAACAATAAGTACACATGATCCGATCACGTGATTGTAAAATGAAAGGGTGCGCTGTTTTATTTTACCGGAGATGGGAGAACAATACGTACACATGATCTGATCACGTGGTTGTTAAATAAGAGGATTCATTGTTTTATTTTACAGGATATGGAAGAACAATATGTACCCATGATCAGATGATACTCTTGGAGGTCCGGCGTCATCCGATCATGTGTTGTAATAGAGTATGAGAAATTGATTTTTAAACATAACCAAGAAAATGTGCCAACAAATACAACCCCTGCGATTTCGATGTCACACCAGCTGCCTAGGACCAGAGCTTGTTTTTGGGAGAGTATTGATTACCTGTTCATGCCCCCTTTTTTGCTGACCTCTGCGTGGTTCAAGACTACTTGGGAAAGAGCTATATTCCAGCTGATGAAGAAAATGCTGGATCTTCAGCATAACACCATTTCTCATCGAAGTTTCACTCTAAAACCAATTTGCCTGATAACAATAATTTTTAAACCCTATTTAAGCATATAGATGTACATCCTCCATATCGACATAAAGAGACCAACCTAGCATCGCCCTAAAGTCCCCGATGGTACACAATATGGAGACGCTTAATCACTCGGTCGATTGTCTGCGTCGAATCGTCATGGTCCCATACAAAGACGCGCGCTGGCATAACGGATATTCAATGATGTGCCCTCTCGCTCGAGTATACTATTATTTCGCACATAAGGAGGGAAATACAGTTGATCAAATACAAAATGCTTCGCATTAAAATACTGGTTTAGCAATTGTACATAAAAAGACATTACGTAGCATACTGTTCAAAGTTTTGGAAGTCATATTGGCTTTTCTTTTTGTCGAATGACGTCGACGTTACTCTCTGTCTTTTCCGCGGCTTTCTACATGAAGATATTTTGTGAGCTGTGAGTAATTGCTACAAACATGATGAGGAAGCTGAGCCATACATGTTACTTTCATTAGCCACTGAAGCATTTCACAAGTCACTTCGGGTGCTTTGTGTCCCCAGATGTTAAAACATCCTCATCATCATCTGCTTTATCTGAAGGCCTCGAATGTGAAGCCAAACGAGTGTTTCATCCCGTTCATGCAAAGACAGTTGTACCACGCTCTGACTTGGGTGGTCACCCAGGCTATAGGTTCGTGTTGGTTATACGTGTGTTGCTCAAAAGTAATATTTTACGTCTTGAATCTATTTCTGAGGAAAATCTGCTTGTGTCTTCATTTTTAATGTAGGATTTTCACGGATTGTTCAATTCCATTAAGAAATTGTTTCCTGTAGAATTCGTACTCCAGATGACAGGTGTTTTAATTTAAATCGTTCATAAACATAAGAAATTAAGATTCAAGTCACTTTTGTTTTTCTTTGAGTGACTTTTGCTGTATTTCCAAGAGTTCATTTTTTCTACACTTTTTATCTATATGATGCAGAAAAACTGCTGCGAACTTCTTGATAGCTAGAATGACTTATTACATGTATAGAAAATCCAGAAGGCTTGACGTTTCGATCCTGGCAGAATCTTTCTCAGGACACATCATGGAAGTGGGTCAAAATATCGAATTCAAAGGATGGTATAACCCCTTGGAAAAAATCCTCTTAAATTTTTTGGCCATACATTTCTAGTTCTGTTTTGGGAAGAGCGGTAAATCATATCCGAAGCAAGCAAAGGCTGAGTTGTGGTACCAGTGTGCATAGCGCGGATCTTGTCTCATCTCTACTCGAGCCTCTTTGATCGCTTGTGACGGACGCACGCCAATTTGACACAGTCGGTTGTAGAAGTGCTTGACAAATTCAGCCGCGTCCAAGTCTAGGACCTTCCAGAAGGTGGCCACCACAGTCTCCGCTCCAGCGGCCCGGGCAGCATCGGCCAGGCTGCGGACGGATTCCTGGAACGTCGCAGAGCCCACTCCAGACAGGCACATGGAGAGCACGACTAGCCGAGTCCCCCGGAGATCCAGGCCAGATATGGCAAGGGAGGACAGCATACCCGACCCGGTGCGTAGATCGATTTCGCTGTAGCGCCGGCTGGCATACGTGTTGTATCCTGCCAGAACCACTGCCGATTTGGTGTCGTCCCAAAAATTCCCACGGTAAGCACTGATATCAGGTTGACTGAAGCCGTGACTGCTTAAGTGGACAACAAAGGGAGACTTCAACTGCAGGACAGCTGAGACGGTGGCGTCGTCGCCAGAAATTTTATGGACATTTAACTCCGGCCCCAACATTGTCAGTATTTCTTCCACGTTGTCGCTCTCCTCCCTGCTGTGCAGCAACTGGCTAACTGTACGTCCCGTACTCGAAGGCTTCCAGAGGTCCATCAACATCTGAACGAGATCTCTGTTATTACCTCCCGATGAATCTTTCAGGTTGAAGTTGGGATCGCCGATGATGAAGCAATCGGTGTTGTCAGATAACGTAGACAGGCATTTCTTCTGTGGTGTCTGCATGTATTGTTGATTCTTCTCTCTATCAGAGGTGTCCGGGGGCTGCTCCATCTCTGCGGTTTGATGATGCTCTTTATCCGTCTTGTCACCGCTAGTTGCCTTTGAATTTTCTGCTCCCCCAGTATCTTCGTCGGCTGTGCCATTTGGCTGATGATCTGCGACGTCTTGGTTAGGGGTTTGGTTCCTGGTGCCATAAAGTGCCACCTGATGCATCACTTCTTCTCGAAGAAGTTCCCTCCCCGAGCTGATATAGGAGACCGAACAAGTATCAAAGACATAGTCACCACCCAGTTCTTGGAGGAGCTCCAGCGGAAGAGAGGTCAGCATCAAGTCCGGCGCAATGTAAACATGTTTCACCTGCTCACTTTTCAACTGCTGTAACACCGAATCGGGGAATATCGCTTCCGTCAACCGTAGGCTCGCAGCTTTGAGCTTCGACATATCGTCAGTGTCAGGATCGTTCATCTGTGCAACTGATTTGTTGAGCGCCTCTCGCCACTTCGAAGCAGCAGCTTCGCACTCGCTGCTGTCGAGGGGAAACCAGTGCGGTTCCTGGGAGTATTCTATTACAAGCAGATGCATCCCGAGGACTGCCCGGGAATCCACCTCTGCCGATTCATATTCCCCGAGCAAGATGTAATCCAAAACCATCTCATCCGGCTTTAGCGCTGCGCGAATGCGGGCGGCTGTCGGGGTCTCGACGACGGCCTTGAAACAAAGGTGCGAGTTCCGCCGGAGAAACTCCATCTCTTTGGCCTCGTGGGTCTTTCTGAGGTCTTGGACAACATCAGGATGGTAAGGCTGTTGGAGATTGCCCGTGGCTTGCAGACTGAGGATGTTGGAGTAGGTGTCCAGGTAGTGCCGTCCAAGTCCGTGCCGGATGAGGGTGGCTCGGAACTCAGTCAGCAAGGACCTCCAGCGAACGGCCACATCAATGAAGAAGCCTGGGTTGTCCTCCTTGAGCAGTAAAGCATTCATCATGACGTCCTGTCTGACTGTGGAGAGCTGTGTTGGCGCGTCATCCAGACCCATCACGCCACGAGCCATCTGGAGACCGAACACGGTGAACATGACCCTCTCCCCCAACTCAAAAACCTCCTTAGCAAGGTCTTTCTCCTTAATCGTAAGACAAACATCTGTAAAAAGGAAAGACAACGCAAAATTGACAGGATATAAACTCAACATTTCTTCTGTATGTATACTGATGGTACAGTTTTTAACGCCTTGTTTCTTGTTGTGCACTGTGATCTGACTCTCATAAAATTAATGGTATTCAATATGAGATAATCTTTCATCTACAGAAGGAACACTATGAGCAAAATTTCTGCATTAATCTGTACATCTGAGTAGGAACACGTCACTCAAACAGTCTGTTTTTTTTTACTCTTTCAGTTTTAATATGATTTTGATATGGTTTCTAATCTTTTATCTAAACATTGTTTCAAAAGTGCACAAGCAAGGGGGATAATACCTGTCAATGTTAGCAGGTCTTCACCGTCGCGTATGAACAGTTCCCCCGCTTGTTTCTCCTTCACTTCTTTCAGTCGTTCTGCAATGTATTTCCCGACCTTGGCCGGACACTTGTCTGCATCTCTCCGCGCAAACTCCGCGTTCATCTTGACTGGCTCATCGGGGAGACCCCAGGAGGTGACGAACACGCCCGTCCGGTGTGCTGATAAGATATTCCTGACGTTTGCAACGATGCGGGTGCTGATGTCGACCAACTCCGTGTATTCCCACGCAGTGCGGGGATAGGTCACGAGCAGTCGGTCCATCTTGAGGCAATACTCCTCCATCAGTGAGGTGTCTTCTCCTGTAAGCATCCCCCGTCCGACGAACGAGTCCAGAAAGCCACCTACTGTTCCCAGGTGGATGCCAATGTACTCCGGGGTGTTCATGATAGACTGCTCGAAGATCGGCAGACACAGACTCAGCTTGTACTGTATAACTCGGTGGCAAGTGTTTGAGCAGTTGAGGACATAGGTGCGGGACAGAATGACTATCACAGCCAGGGCGACAAGGGGCCGGGCGATGTCAGCAAGGGCCACGTGCAACGCGGAAAGGTCAGAGCAGAATTGCTTGGTTTTCTCGAGGGAACTGTCTAGCAGCTTAACTGGGATACCCGGTGCAGTGGGATCCAGATTGGCGGCTACAGCCTCCACCCAATCCATTACCGAATGGCACGGTGGCTGTCCAAACGCAGTCATGATGCGCTGAAACTCCTCCGCTGTGTGCTTCAGATGCACGGTCATCTGTTCCTCTGTCATTCCTGCGGACGTGGACGTCCTGGAATACAGCGATAGCATGAGGATTTCCAGATAGTTCTCCGAGAGTAGGACTGTGCCGGTTGGCAGAGGCAGGGACTTCTCGTACTGGCCAAAAATCGAGCGGCAGGCCCTCAGCCAGGCGGACGCGAACTCTCGGCAGGTGGCGTTGCTCTTGAGGAGTTTAAAGCCGTCCTGTGCAGCCGGGAGGACCTCGAGGTGCCTCTCCAGGGCAGCCAGGGCGCTGCACTTCCTCCAATAGCCTTTGGCCCACCCGGGGTCGATCGTTATAGCCAGCTCGGCATCTTCTAGGGCCTTTTCGTTTTGATTGAGTTTCAGGTATGCCAGGCTTCGATTAGTCAGCAAGCAAGCAGCTACTTTGTCCTGTGTCAGTGTCAGGGCGCGACTGTAGGCAGACAAAGCCCCCTCGTAGTCTGGTGGCTTGGCTCTCATCAGCTGGTTCCCCAATTCCTTCAGCTCCTCGAACGACATCTTTCATCTTCAAAGAGGAAAGGAAATCAACTTATAAACGGATTCTTATTTGTGATAAATTAACATTGACCCTAAAAGAGCCCAGGTCAAAATCCGCCCCTTTCCAATTTTATTTCCAACATCGTCGTTTTCTTCACGCAAGACCAGCGGTCTATGTGTTTATATGTTTGTGGGCCTATCTGCCCTGAGCTGAAGTGCACCCCCAATCGGCGAAAGAAAGACAGGTGGTTACGCAGACCATACAAGCCAAAAATAAATTAGTGACGTGTACTCAGCGAGCTTAGCGTCAAAGGCGCATATAATTGTGCGCTTCATGGCGCTCGGATCGGAGCGGATGTGCCGTCCTGTTTTTTTGAGTTCCTGATCTAGTAGTTTCGGGGGGGGGGCAAGAAAGAAGGAGGGAGTGTCAAGTCAAATGGCCTAGTGGGTAATTTAATGCGAGCATATTTGAAAAGCATTAACGCAAAAAAAATACCTCACTGAACTACTGGTGGAACGGGTTATTTCAAGGATGAAAAAATAATAACGGCCTTTCACAATAGTGCGCTTCCAAGAGTTTGCAAAGCGTTGGCCAATCACAATGTCCGAAATTTGTCGACCCATGCAATGATGCCTGCATTGTTTAATAAAAAAGCTAATATCCTCATGCCCATAAATTAAAACCCGAATTGGGTCATTGCAAGAAATCAACCTACATGTAGGTCAAATGCAACTTCCGGGACTTAAAAACGGTCCATCAATAGTCAGTGACCCGGAGCAGCGATGGGGGTGGGGGGAGGGAGGCGTTTCGGTGGATCAACCCACCCTTGCTCATGGCCAGTTTTTAAGAAGCCTAGAGGTAATATGCGTCTGAAGGGGATTTAAAAAATTACCCTAGTGCAGGGGTCTTTTGTCTCACACGACGAAATTCAAATGACTTCATCAACGGCATCGGACAAATATACATGTATCATGTATAGTACTGCCCGGGAATGTATTAGTACCCTATCCCCCATGGTCCATAAAATATCCCGAACCTGTAGGCCTACTTGTAAAAATGGTGGATCCGCCGCCACCAATGCATCGTTCACCGTCGCGTCCCCGTTTGCAAATCGTGCGAACCGCGACAAACAACGTTAACACTAAAATCATGTGAAACATTACAGCAAACCTTTACAATAATGCAGTTTACCTGAGATGCTACTTTTAATCTGTCTGCAATCAAGAAAAATAAGTTTTTCAGGAAACTCGATGCTGGGGGCTGAGGATGGAGACGACCGCCGGAATGTGCCACGCGACGGAACGAAAAACCCACTCAAACATTTGGCAAGATGGCGACGTATATACAGCATTCTTGTATGCTCGCTAGATTACATGTTCTCATGCATAGATTTCATAGAATTGCTCTATAATAAGCTCGTGGAAGGGAAATCCCCGGCAAAATATAAATACGGGTTTCTGTACAATTTCTACCTCCATGGTCGAATTCAGTGAATTCTTTCTTTCATTCTTTCTGTTTGATTACACAACCTAGAAAAGTGAATTGGGAAGTCTGGGTAATAATCATTAGAACACCTGTGAATATTGCTTTGTTTGATCTGAGTTATGTCATGTACATAATACATGTACATGTACAGGTGTATGTACTGTATATGTACACGTACAATCTCAATGTACATGTACATGTACATGTACACGTATGTACATGTATAAGGTCCCTATTCAATCATACTGTTACCACCAGAGGGCGCGCTTTCACTTTTCACGTTCAAGAAAAAATGGCGACATCCATGAGAAACGGCGTGAGTGCGGTCAAACGAGTAGGCCTAGTTCCTCTGCTTATTCGAGGCCAAACCAGACCTTTTCGGACTTCTTCCGTTCTTGTTAAAGATCATCTGTGTCATCCATGTATAAATGGTAATATTTTTGTTGTTTTAAGAATGCTTTGAAGCCTTCTCGATGCCAAATCTGTGACTTCCATCACCAGACGTGTCAGAGTCAGACTACATGTACATGTACTTTAGCGTACATGTACATGGGCCTACATGTAGATGTCCATTTCATTGCAATGCGCCTCCTCCTTTTCATAGCTCCCTGCACTGACCAAACTGTGGGATTCACTGGATTTCCAAAGATAATAGTTAGGTTCACTCGTCCCGCACTTTTTGGGAGAAAATAGAAATTTCCTGCGCGGCCAACCAACTCTATCATGTCTACTGTTTTAAACATCCATTAAAATGAAAACTAAATACTGTCAGATATCCTGCAAGCTCTGTTCATGTCACGTCTGTTTGACTTTCAAGGCCTGTGGTGATTAATGGTAATTTATTACTATTTGCAACCAATGGTTGGATTGGGATACTTAAACCCTCCTATGCAAGTGTACAATTTATTTATGACATTGTTATTTCAGTCAAAAACAGTCAACTGATTGATTTTGACTGTTAAAAAGACTATGTTTACAAGAATTGGGTTGACTGTTGGTGACTGTTGTAGTACTAGTAAGTGAGTGTGTACATGGTGTGACTGGCTGTGATAGGGCTGCTGGGAGTGTCCAGTGTCTATTGATTGTTTTTGATCGAATTGAGTACTGTCTGTAGTTGCTGAGTGGCTGGTACTGATTGATACAGAAAGCCAACTCCTTCACAACCTTGCTTTCAAAATCACGCCCTTGGTCGGAGTGAAGACGTTGGGACAATCCCACCATAACAACAAAAAGTCCATCTTGGTAGTGACTGATCACTTTACTAGATATACCCAGGCATTTCCCACAAAAGATCAAATGGCTCGCACTGTAGCTAAGGTCTAATGGGAGAACTTCTTTGTTCACTACGGATTGTCCCAACGTCTTCACTCCGACCAAGGGCATGATTTTGAAAGCAAGGTTGTGGAGGATGTATAACTGTGACCCTCATTGATTGGGTAGAGTGTTTCAAGGATGGATAAGCAGGTAAGTGTGTGGAAGTGATTGACATAAACAGTACCCCCATCTTGGCTGTGTACATGTATGCTGTGGACTTAACTTTGCACTGTATGCTGCATATAAAATGGCATGTTCCACTACTTAAAGGGGAATGTTCAAAATGCTTTGTAACATTACAGGTAGAGAACCAATTATAATAACAATAATGAATTTTTGTGAGTTACAGCTTCTCACATGATATTATATAATGCCAAACGTTAAGAAAAGGAACAGAAGGTATATAAGGAGACGCAACATCCCTATAGTTCACCCTTTGCTCAAGAGCAGTTTCAGTGTACACGAAAGAAAAGAAAAATGGTTTATCGAGAGGCTCAGAGCTTGCAGGAAGATCTGAGGGAAGAGGAGCTGCCGATCTTTACCAGATCCATGGCTAAGAAAAGAAAGCCAGTGGACGGAGCTTCAGATATGGAGCTGGCAACAGCAAAGAAGAAGAGAGAGAGAGGAGAATGAGGAGGGAGAGGCATCAGCTTTGATTGAATCAGGGTCTGAAGGAGATCTGATGTCCTCTATGCGAGAGGACTGGGATGAAGAAGATGACGAAGACGAAGATGAATGTTTCTGTGCCGAGAGTACAGTAGATTCTTCATCAGGGCTGGAATTCAAGTCTGGAGAATTATCAACAGAACCCGATGATGAAGAAGAGGCACCCAGGAGAACTCGTGGAAGAAGACAGAAGCGAGTTTACCCAGGATCTGTTGATGACCCAAATAAACCCACTCTCCATAAGCCACCGCTGTACAGGCAAGACAAATACGGTTGGACCAGGGACCTCCTCAAGTTCCATATTCACCGGTTCAGGGGCAAGGAGTTTGGCCCAACATTTTAACGGCCAGAAGACGATAATCCACTGACCTACCTCTTGCAATTTTTTTCTGGAGAAGATGTTCAAGAAAAGTGCCAGGTGGACCAACATCAACGGGGGTTCAAACCCCCGCTTCATCAAGGCAACAACAAAAGAAGAAATCAAGGCTTGGGTGGGCATCCGAATCATCCAGGGAGTTCACAGTAACAGCAACCCCGAGGATGACTGGTCTACCAGTGAGTCAGTGGTCAACCTCAAAATTGCCAGTACCGTGACCAAGGCAAGATTCGACTTGCTTTCGGAAGTCCTCTGCTGCACAAATCCGACAAAGAGCCCACACAAGATGAAGCGGAAGGCAGAAAGGTTCATGTATAAAAAGGCTCATCCTCTGTATCTGTTGGAGCTCATCTGGGACACAGCGAAGGAGCACTGCATCAACATCTTTGCCCCCATGATAGAGTTGACCCTTGATGAGACCATGGTGAAATAAAAGGGCACCGAGGCGAGCGTCAAGCGCTTCTTCTTTCCCCTAAAGCCATGCAAGATGGGGTTTAAAATCTACGCAGTCTGCGAATCCCGTTCTGGCTACCTCCTCAACATGATCGTTCATCCAGAGGAGAAGACGAAGATGTTGAACATCTCCCTCAAGGTGATGGAACCGTTCTTTGGGATGTACCATCAACTGTTCTTTGACCGGCTCTACACTTCAGTCTCCCTTGCCTCATTACTTCGGGAAAATAAAACGTACCTCTACAGAGCCATCGAAAGATCTTCCTGAGGGCTCCCCACCGAGTTCAGCATGAACCCAGAGGTCAACCCCACCGGCCACCAGGACATGACCCAAATGAGCAAGGCACCTTGAGGAACCATCTATGCCCGCCATAAGGACAAGGTGACGATGGTCCTGTGGCGTGACACAAAAGTTACGTCATTTCTCTCCATACATGTATGCCACCAGGGCTATCCCAAGAAGAACACCAACTTCCTCATGAGGAGTACCAAGGAGAAAGATGAGAAGAAGGCCTCCAAGAAGCCTGTGAAAGCTCCTTCCCATGACATAGACTACACCCAGTTTATGGTGGGGTCGACAAAGGCGACCAGCTTTGTACCTGCCACACCTGCAGCCGGCAGTCCATGGCATGGTGGAAGAAAATTCTCTACTTCCTTCTCGATGTGGCCAGATGTGCTGCAAGATGAATTTGGAGAAAGACGGGACCACAGCCATCCCCATCACCCACCGCGTCTTCACAGTGGAGATTGGAGAGAGGCTAATTGCAGGCATTGCTGAAGGCTCCATCAGGCATCACCAGCAAGCTAACCTCCCACTTGTACTACACATCAATGGTCCCCTCCACCAGTGCATCCTCATGCCCGTCGAGGCTGCCAAGATGTGTGTGCACTGCCGTCAGCAGGGGCGCAAGACACCAAAGGGGCATCCTGTCACACCACGTTCCGGCTGTGCCTCCTGTAACTTTCACCTGTGCAGAGGAAGATGCTTCCTTGAGTTTCATTCTGCAGAATAAAACCTCAAGGATATAAAAGTATACCAGAAGAGAAAACAAGAGAAACAAATGGAATAAAAAGAAACAGAGAAAAGTTGTAAATAAAGGAAAACAGAGAAAAGAGGGGGGAAAAGTGAAAGATCCCAAAAAGTATGTATGTTTTTGAAAAAAGGAACAAAAAAAAAGGCTGTGAGGATTGTTAACCCCTTTGCGACAGATGATGGTGAGAGCCGCCATAAAAATTGAGATCCTCAGCCCACTTTTAAGTTATTATTCTCAGCCCACGCTCGAGCGAACACCGTGAAAGAAGGCAGACCCTGGCTCTTGTATGGTGATTGGCCTTTGTGTGTAGCCCAGAAATGAAAAGACTAAATTTGCATCATTATCACCAGCTTCACAATAGTCCCCACTTTGAAAAGAGGCAACGGGAACGTGGAAGCTTGAGTAGAGCCGCATGCCACCGAACAATCAGCCTTTTCACTGTGTAATTCAAAGTGTGCAGCGCACGCAGGGCCACAAACTGCGAATTTGCGGTTTGGCAGGTGGCCTTCGTGGCCAAGTGACGCTGGAATTCTCGGAGTCGGCTTTCAGAAAAAAACTTCCAGTCGTCAAGGGGGTTACCAATATGGCTTTTATAAAGTCTGGGTAAAATCTGAGCCTAAAATAAACGAAAACATGTCATTATACAAAAACAAAACAGAACATTACAAGTTGGAAATGAAGCCCCCAGTAGTAATTCCAAACACATATTTCCCACACAAAACCTTATGACCGTCTAATGTGACTGTTTTATCAATCAAAACCAGTCAACTGAATTTGACTGGTCAAACTGCCTGCCATACATGTACATGTAATTTCACTGTTTTTGACTGGCATGTACATGTATATTAATCCTAACAGTCCTCAGTCCTCCAACAGGTGAAGGATTGAGGACTGTTGGGGTTAAGTTTAGCCACTTGGATTGGATTGATATTTTGACTGTTTTTGAGGGTTACAGCAAAAGGAGGGATAATACTGTCCAAAAACACCATTTCAAAATACAATATTTCACTACTCTAAGCCTGACATGTACACTTGGTGAAATTTTTGCTATCTTAAATAATCTTGCCAACTTTTTCTTTAAGAGGTCAGACAAACTGTAGCTAGACTTTATGCTCATAGTGTGCACTTCAAGTAAGAATACTCAGAGACATTTATTATGGTTCCAAATATTAATATTTCTGGAAAATCATTTTGTGAAAATTTACATTTACCCCGTTATTGCTGATCAGAAACACTTCAGAAAGTGGTCCACTGCGACTACGTTATGTGATAAAACATGTGTAAAAATTACATAAAGTGGAGCTACATGTAAATATTAGTGTCGGAGTATATTTACGTAAAATTTTGATTTTTTTGTAAATGTAAATAGGTATGAATCATGTACACGTACATGTATGTCCCTGGGTGTTGTTATTTGATGCATACGCCATGTACATTAAGTAGAGACCCAGCTTGTCCGTCCTTGTGAAAAGACGAGTTGGTAGGAATGAGTTAAGTGGTGAAATTTGAGGAAGACTGTTTTGTTCTACCAGGTGTACAATGTACATGTACATGTATGTCAACTTTTTGCCTCAACTGCATGTGTACATGGGTAGTTCTAGAAATCAGGTGTCCATTTTTTTTGGTGTCCCTGTCACATCTGACGTATGATTTTATAAGTTCAGAAAACATTTTCTGATTTCCAAGAGGGATGAACTAATGCAAACTACCTGCCAAACAAATACTACTACTGTAGTTTGAAATCCATTCCGGTCATGTTTCTGTATCAAATAACAAAGGTCAGATGTAACAGGGATACGAAAATGTCACACTTTTGGACCCCTAATTTCTGGAATTTCCCACATGTATGTACAAAAAAATTTTTGTTAACTTTGATATCTTGTCACCTGTTAGCACCCATACTCCTTGTCAGTACTGTGACATAGGTACATGAACTTACAGGTTCAGGAAGGTGTATTTTCAATTTCAAATGTCAAAGGCTTAGAAGAATCCATAAGCCAGTGTAAAAAATGGGAAATTTATTGTTGCACCATGTCTAACAAAAATCATCTGATTTCAATTATGATTGAAAGTGGCGATTTAAATGTCCATGTGATGGGCCATGGAGTAGGTCATTGGTTTAAGGATTGATTGTAATGTTCTCCCCCCCCCATAAAAAATGGTTCTACTTCCCATTTCATGTTATCAGAAAGCAGAGTTGGTACCATAGGTAGGAACTTTTTTTCTCCTTTTTTCAACCAATTCTGTTGACATAACAGTCCTCTCAGGTCAAGGATTGGCATTCAGGCATCTTGGCGTTCCTTCTCAAACCTTCTCATCCAACCCCCAACGATGGCTGAGCACCTCCCATAGGTTGTGCAGCGAGACGTCCGACCAACCTGCCGAAGAGGCCGAGCAGCTGCACAGCATTATTCAAGATTCAGAAACGGTCACTGGTATGTGAACATCATTGATGAAGCTTGCTTAGTGGTGTATTCCACTTACGCAGTGCCTGCGTGTAATATACATACATGTAACATGTACGTTGGTCATTCCACGTCAGCAGATTGTATTCGCAAGGAAGCCATTTTGATCATGTTCCCTGAATCAATCCTATTCAATTTAATTTGTCAAATGAGTGGCACCAGACTATTTCCGGTTCCTTGCCTTACTTTTCAATATTACTTAAAACATAAATTTAGATATAGTAAATCATTCAATGAAAAAATTAAATCATTTATCATTGTAAATGAAATCAATCTGTGATGAAATATTGTCATCACTTTCATACTTCGTTTTTATTTTTAGGTTCCCAATTCGCTTTCAATTCAATGTGGCAGACTTGTCAGTATGGTCAACTGAAAATGCTTTTCCATGCAACCTACTCAAATTTAAAGCAATAATTTGTATGATGATTGGCATGCATGAGGAACCTCCTAAATTTGTCATAAAATCATCTCCACTCTCAACTTTAGAAAAATGAACATTTAACCTGGCTTTCAATTTCGACATTGCCAACCCATGAATCTGTTACACATCTCCTTGTTTGCTACAGGGACGCCAGAGAATCATGAGTTTCAAGCCGAGACGAGGATGTTGCTAGATATTGTGGCCAAGTCGCTGTATTCGGAGAATGAGGTANGGGATATTGTCATTGTCACTAAACAGTGGTGGCTGCAGCAGCATGAAAAAATGCTTAGGACATGTTGGACGTAGACTGTTGACTAGTCTGTGAAACTTCCCCATGTCCATAACAAGGTCGTGTCCGAATCACTTGGCTACGGCTGGAATTTACACACGACTTCATGGGAACTGGCTGTGGCCACTGCCATTGACTCATGCGCGATTTCCAGCCTTAGCGAAGCGATTTGGACCCAGTCTAAGCCTTTTGCTAGTTAAATTTGAATAAAATCTGCTACACTGAGTTACCCGATTGCACATAATCATAACAATTTGAATTCCCCAGACTAAAGATACTGTTGCTATACCTCTGGTAATTTCGAGCAAGCTTTTGCATAGCGACCACCATCTCTGGAATGGACTGGTTCCTTTGTGCCTTTCATATCCATTGAATTACTCGCAAAAGTCTTATTCACATGTGCCCAGTTGGCCTGTGCGTAGTATTCAAATATTTGAATATTTGATCAAGTATCAACTATTCAAATATTCAGAGGTGCAATACCGTGAAATAAGAGATGGAAAAGAGAGCAAAAAGGAACAAGCCAATCAATATGCACTCATCAAGCTTGAGTTGCAGCGGATATTATCAAATGTTAATACACGGTCACACAGGGTAACTGTCTAAGACGTGAGGTCAAAATACAAAGCTTTTGAAAGCGTTCAACGCTTTTTAAACGGTAAGCCCCAGCGACGGTCAACATCAAACAGACGAACGCTTCAGCGAGGCAGGCCAAACCGTTGCGGTTGAGTACGCCGTGCACTCTGCAGCTTCCAGTAAACAATGGGCAGCTCATCGCATTACGGCATCACAGACTTCTGCGGTCTGGTGGATGAGTCATAACAATAGCTCTTTACTTTGCAGCTCCGCAGGAGGATTTAGATTGGCAGACTGTTTTAACTTCCTGATAAAACATGTGTATTGCGTAGTTGTGTTGCTAATAAAGTGTGAAATATCTGCGCTGGTGGTTTCCAGACCAGTCTTTTCAGGTCTCGATACTCTGTAATCTTGATATTTTGTCTCGGTATCGGGAATCTAACACACACCTAACTGCATACCTGCAGGATCAAATATACTAACTCGAAATAGTATTTACCTGAATCATACATGACATAGTGTTCTGTTCGCCAACATGTAGTTATAGATAAAACCTCTTTTTTTACCGTACGCACAAGCTGGGACTCAGCATTGTGCACTCGCAGGTTTTCATGTGTAGGATCGAGGAAGACACGTACACAAACTACGCGCTTTCTACTTCGAAGCTGCACCCGCACGATTTAAGGATACAAGTACATGTTTTCTCTTTAAGTCAGTAGTACATGTGTGCACGTTGCAATACATGTATGTTTTGTACGTATGATTCTTTTGTACTCTTTGAATACTTTGTGGCTGCATGAAATTCATGTTGGGAAAAAAACCTGTTGGATTTTATACTAATCTCTGGTGTTTGACTTTACCTATTAAACTTAAATGAACAATTTAATCTAGTGCTGCAGGCCAACCACCGAACCGAGGCAAAAATTATCAAACAAGGCACTTTCGAACCGAACCAAACTGTTCGGTTTGGATGTACGGCTTTAATAAGGCATTTCATTGATGGCACGCGGGAACACATACAAAAATACAAGAAAACTTAATAAAAACAAACACAACGAAAAATGGATAACGAGTTGTACGGCGTGCTCCACACGTGCATGAACATACTGAAACTTACAATGGCCGGTATCATGAAATAGTTGTAAAAAGCATGTGGTGAGGATCACTCAGAAATCAACCAAGAACACGCAAAGTACGGCATTGTCGCTGCATAACATTTCTAAATTCTCACTACATCCAATCGTGCTCATGTATATTCAGATTTGTTATTTCATTTGCCAATCTCTGATACCCACGCCCTTACATTCCATATTAGGGTAATGACGTTCCATATTAGGCCAATGGTCTCATAAATGGAATGCAAAACAAATTTTGATTGGACGCTGATCACAGTCGGACTCGTGCTCGATCCAAGGCATCCCCGGATGAAAATTTTGCCAAGCGGTTTGGTGCATGTCCCGCGCGCGAGGAGATTTTTGTTCGCACGGTGGCCTAACTTGCCTTTCATTTGACCATGAAGGGTTTGATCGTAGTGCGAATGCGTTGTAATGGAATTTGCCAGACCTCAAATAACAAAATGCTGTTATCCCTTCAAAAGAGGCTGATGGAAAATTGTCCCTTTGGTCACGTGCACGCCGTCCTTGGAAAGGTTCCTCCTCGGATACGCAACGCAAGCCATTTTTGTAGTTTTCGAAAGCCATCTATTTTGCAAAAATAACCAAAAACACAAATTGCTTGAAATTTGATTTTAATCTGGAGGAAAGTCCTAATTGAGCATGCTGTTTTTTTCTATTTACACATATCTTAATAACGTTTTGTTGAGTAAAGCGTGGTCCGAACACAAACGCATCTGGTCGGCAAAACACGCTCAGAAACTGTCACACCTCTAGTGGTAACTTTATATGGAATGTACTCATAAACAAACTCTGAGGAAACAGATATTCAAAGCAAAGTTGCTCGTGGATGGGTAGAGATAGGAGATTCAGAATTTTATACATATGAATACTTTAAAGGCCTTTGCGGCACGATCGTAGCAAGCCTTTCGATGTCTCAGTGTGCATTGTACGTGTACGTGTATACATGTCAGAACCCCAACTGATCCGAAGTTAGGCAAAAAATGTCCGAGCCCTGTCTGAACCGAACTGATCCTTGACACATACTTGCGGCACTATTTGATGCGGAGTTTGACTTTTTATTTACCTTCAAAGAATATGGTACTACGTGACTGAAGTTCCAAATAAATTCATATTGTGTCTATGAGGATATTTCCTTTCAGAGATGATAGATCAGGCAGTAAAATGAGGCAGCCGTGTTTGGCATTTCCCGTCACTCCCGTATAAACGTATTTATTTTCCAGTCTAAAAAGTGCTTAAAGACGAACAACGATCTTGTGGCGATGTCTTTTTGTCATGAAATACCCACTCAAAACGTTTCTGAAGCTGAAGAAATGTCTGTAGCCTGGAATGCAGTTGATTTTACATCTCTATCACAAGGTGTCAACCACTAATCCTCACGGTCAGCCCAGGAAGGCTGAACGGGGCCAGTGAAGTTCTCCTGGAATAGGATCTTTTGTTCACAACTATGGCTGTGTAAGCCACAAACTCCATTGTTGTCAGGGTTGCTCGTGAAGCCAGACCGTCCAGGGCAGACGGTTCTTTTCAAACCGTTGAACTGTCCAACACCAAAAGACAAACGGAGTGAAGGGGGATTAACACCAACCATTCAACTGTTTCTAAAACGTCTGTATTTTGACCTAACACCTAAACATCGTTTCATACTTCACACAAAACCAAAAATGAACGCGTATTTGTGAGGGCAGATCAAAATATTTGTGCTGCAAATTCGTAAAAGTTGAACACATTTCAACTTGGGCAAAATTTTGCTGCAGATTTTTAGTGACATCAAAATCCCTTTGCTTTCGTATTCGCCAGATGTGTGAACCGACCTAGGTATTTACGTGTGTGAATGGCATTTGTTTATTAAGAAAAACCTGTCTATTTATGGAAATTAACCTCNAAAGTTGGAAGAACCTCTGATCTCACTGCAGGTTTTCATCCGGGAGCTTATATCCAATGCCAGCGACGCCCTGGAGAAGCTGCGCTACCTATCATTAACCTCTGGGTCAGGGGTCAGCGGGGACCTGCCCTTGGAGATCCACATAGCAACCAATCAGGAAGCTGGAACTTTCACAATTCAGGTGAGAAAGTTCAGTTGGAACTGACGTTTGAGTTATTTTGCAACAGGTTTTTGCTGCAGTTTTTAGCAAGTGTAACTAGATGCAGTCAGCAGATTTCTTACATTCACGTGTTTAAGAGACTAATTAAAACGTATGACATTTTTCACCGTTCTTGTAACTTTTTGAAGTACACCGCTGTTTCGTTTGTCAGTCTTTGTTTCCCAGTCAAAGGGCCCTTCAGGTCAAGTTGTTAGAATTGTTTGAAGATCTTCTTTCGCTGTTTTATTCATCAGTGGTCAAACTGGCATGTGACTAAAATTGTTCATGTTTCAGCCCATAGTGCAGAGAGAAAAAAAGGAACTTCAGCTGGAAGGGTTAAGTTGCAATGTCTTGCTGACAAAAAATAGCGCAAACAATGCAATTAGAACAAAAAATTGGTTTGAAGAGAAAGTCAAAAGGGGAGTCCAAATATTTGTGTAGCATTGTGCCACATAGGGATATTTTGCATCAAATACGCTTCTGTGTTAATGTTTAAATTGTTGCCTTGTTCCTTTTAGTTGCAAACACGCCGACAGCGGGTTTTGCAAGAAATTCAGTCGCTGTCCTCTTGTGCCAAATGTCCATCAGAAGACAGCAGCGAAGCAGTCCTGTGTGTTGTTATTTGTGAGTTTCTAGCCTGTCGTGTAATGCTCCAATTTATCCCAGTTTTGTGTCTGTCGCATTGCAGGACACTGGCGTTGGGATGACTTTACAAGAAATGATCGACAATCTGGGCACTATAGCGAGATCGGGCTCCAAGGTAAGGCATTTTTCTCACATCTCAAAGCCCCAGGTCTAACTTACACTTGGAACGGTGTACAATGGAATTCCATGTGGTCCAAAAATACTGCTGGCGGTTTCCTGTCGGACTGCTTACTTTGAGAGCTGACAAACCACGTGATAGGGCCGTGAGCCATGCTGTTTTGATACCTGAGACAAGATGCCTTGTGAGACAGTGCGTCCTGGCCAATCATCGGTCTCGTTCTGTGTTACATCACATGGTTGGACATATCCCCATTGCGCCTTTGATACTTCCGTTTGGGGCGCTTTTGTTGTGGAGGGTCGGTAACTGGCAAACCAAGCTGGTTTTTGCCTTGTCTGTAAATTTCACATATTGCACTGTGTAGCACGGTTCATCACCACGTCTGGCTGCTTCTCATATGCAAATGAGCAATCATTGGCATGTCCGTGTACATGTACCACTTTTTTATAAACGCTATCTGCTTTTGAAACCACTTCACGCACAGAAAAACCCCCATGTGTAAAAATGAAGGGATTTCCTGTGTCATTACATGAGGACATTGAACGTTCTGGCAAATCCCTATGCAGTAAAGCATGACAACCGTACTTGTCCCCATGCTCAAGAGATTCCCATGTAGTTTGTACGCACATGTGGGGTATGAGGTTGAACGTGTATGGAGCTTTGGAGAGACCATGGTCCATGATTTTGTCTTCGATTTTGAAAAAAAGTGCATATGGGGTGAGAAAGGTTGCACAAATCTCGAACAGTTACCAGGCTAGAGAGGTCACTTATGAAGTCTAATGCTGTTACGGGCTGTGGCTGTGGTTTCTTGTCGTTTAACAAAGTCAGTGTTTACAGCTGAAATTGACGCAAGAATCAGGGAGAAGATGGTTGTGTTTATGACACTAATCCTCAAGGAGCATTTCCAAGGCGCAATATTGGTTTTTGCCAAGGGGATGATTAAAAATGTCAAGGGACAGTTCAAATCGAATCAAATCGAATCAAATCGAATCAAATCGAATCACATCAAACTTTATTGCTACATATTCATAAAAAGTACAAAGAGTAGAAATTACTTGACTGCTCACTAAGTAAAAACCTAAAATACATGTATATCTTAAATATTCACAAAAAGTACAATTACAATCTATTTTTGATTAAATTAAGTTAAGATTAAAAAAAACCAAGAACACAAACTATATATATATTTGAGATTTATCTAAAATTCCCATTTAGGTACCTGACTGCAGTGTTATAAAATGAGCAGTTTGATCACTTAGTGCGTCCCTGAATTGATCTGTATTTACACCTCATCATTTGAAAAAGCTCATTGGCCAGATGAGACTCGTCTGCAGTAATGGAATGAGCACATGCCAGTGTTCGCTGTTTCTAGTTAGGAAAACCATGTGTATGCGTGTATGTGTAGACATCATCAGGCATGAAGTGATGAAGAAATGAAGTAAGTCGTCAAACGATGCTAGTCTCAGTCTCGTCATTGTCATGCTGCGTTTTACAGTCTCAGTCTTACGTCATTCGGTTCTGTGTCTTGTCTTCTTTGTGTCCCCGCAGGCGTTTCTGGAGGAGTTGCAGAAGGACGGTCAGACAGGGTCGACTGGTGGCAGCATCGTGGGTCAGTTCGGGGTGGGTTTCTACTCGGCGTTCATGGTGGGGGACCACGTGGATGTCTACTCTAAGTCCCACCAGCCAGACTCCAAGGCTTACCGCTGGTCATCTGACGGGTAAGCCAGGAATGTAGCTACCTGCTACCTGTCAAATAAAGTGCCTTCGCTGAGGTGTGCACAGGACCTAATAGGGCTGTGGTCATCTTTGGAATATTCTATAATCGATTTATCAAATATTCAAATGTTCATGTCTCAGAGGTGAAATGAATAATATGGAAACATTCATTTATGTGGCCAATCCAGAATTACATTCTTAACCCTAACCGCCAAGCATATTGTTTGGCTTACACTACACCTGTACACAGTACTACAAAATACTAAGTAATAGTCTGAGCCTGAAGGACCTAGCGCTACAAATTACAACTTCTGGCTAGGTTACTTCCATTGTTACTTGTACAGAGAACAATAAAGCCATACATTCATAGTGCCACAGCACTGCATGGTACATTGTCTTTTCTATTTTATTTTATGGCTTCAGAGAACAATGTGGTCATGTCCTCTTACAAGCGACAGGGCTGATTACTACATAATACTACAAGTAGTAACTTGTAGTATTATGTAGGGTTAGGGTTAGAGTATTTCAGTGCGTTATAAGTAAAGCTTAGGCATGTGTTCAACATCAATGTCTTAATACATGAACGCCAAACACTGGGACCAAATGTTCCATTTGTTCCAAATTTCCTTTTTTTCCTTTTGTACAAGTGTGTATATTTCCACTTTTCTCGGGATTCGTGACAATCGAATATTCAAAAGGTATCATTTGACAGTGTTATTTTCAGCTGTGAAGTGCCTTCCAAATGAGCCGTTACAGTGTTTCAGCTAGCTATCAATAACTCAGCATCCTAGCATTGTCAGAGAGTATGCCAGCCATTTCTTTGGGCACCCAGTGGGCCATTAGAGTTACATTCGATCAATAGTTTCTCATTCGATGCTATTTAACCTGTCTTTACCAGACTGCACAGGGCCCTCTGTAGTGCATGCTCAGGGACCATTAGAGTGACTTGCTTATCAATGATTTCCCAGGCTGCATTTTCTTCATCTCTGCCAGGACTGGCAACTATGACATCGTTGAAGCGGACGGGGTCCAACTGGGCACCAAGATCGTCATCCATCTCAAGAAGGACTGCTGGAGATTTGCTATGGAGGCAGATGTCAAAGGTCAGGAGTCATCTGAGGTTTATCAAGTCCGGGTATCACAAAACTGGAATTGGTATCCCAAAAGTGGGACATTACTTCATGAGATACATGTATCACAGTGTGGTCACTCACAGACATGAATTTTCTCCCACAGATGTATATCGTGCCTTAACTTGAAATACTGATAATCCATATTTAGAATAAATTTAAAAGAAAAACGAACCAAAAAAAAAAAATAACATCCACAAATTCGTCAACATTTAAATAAAAAGCATAGCAATGAAGACCGTTTGTGACTTGCTCTGAAAAAAAGAGTCATAAGTCACCAGAGCCACTTTTGAGTTTAAAGGCCTTCAAATGAATCTTGCTTAAATGTAAAAGCAAAAGGAATCCTTGAGGCGTATAAAACCAGAGCAAAATTTCCTCTTTCCTATACAGTCTCAAACTGAGAAGTGGTTGTGGCGACTTGTGACACATTTTCACAGAGCGCATCACATTTTCTGGCTGTTAAATGTTTGAAAGAAGTATTTCTTTCAATCAGGCATTTAAAAAAAATGACCTGTGGCTGCTGATAATGGGAAGCCATTTTACGTTTCCTCCAAAGTGGAAAAATTGTCAAAGCATTTTATCCTGGAATTCACTCTTGAACAATATGACACTAAAAAGTTTTCTGGTTCCGAACTGAATCAAGCTTTTCCTTTTTCTTCGCAGAAATCATCAGTAAACATAGCACGTTTGTGGGCATGCCGATCTTTCTGAATGGCAAGCTGATGAACACCACACAGGTGGGTCGTGATGGCATTTAACACCATGGCCACGTTCAGAAAAGAAAGAGTGTCTGGTCCATGCTGTTGGGAAGAAAGGGATTAGGAGGCCGTTTTTTTGCAGATGATGGTAGAAATGCCAACAGAGCTGACAGATTTTTTTTCCATTTTATTTAGTTGACTCATTTTCCATGTCAACATGTAAATTGTTTCCAATAGCAGTTACCATGGCTACACTACTCAAAAATGTTTTCAATGACAAACTCCTGACAAATTTGGTGATGAAAGAAACTTACATATGCATATAACTGTAACTTAGAACCCCCAAGAGTTTCAGCTCTTTGGAATGGAGCTCATCATGTTTGCATGAATCGCAACAACAAACACAGCATGATTTATCACCGTGCCTTATTAACATTACAATATATATACTTTAAATTCCATTTATACTCCAGAAATACTTGCTGTTAGTGCTGTTGCATGGCGTCAGTGTAGGTACAAAATCATGTGACAGATTTGATCAAACAGACTTTAAACTTCAAATTCTGTGTTGTAACATTTTGCCAGTGTTGTAGTTGAGACCACTTAAGACCTTCACAAGACCACACAAGATCACCACAAGACCTCCAGTCTGAATTCAAGTCACAAGCTATTCAAATGAACTGCAACCAAATCATTCCTTTGTCACTGTTCAACCAATACTTGTGTCTGGTCTTGTGCATGGTCTTGTGTCTGGTCTTGTATCTTGTCTTGTGACTGGTCTTGTGACTGGTCTCGTGTCC